CCCAAAACTTAGTGGCTTAAAACAACAATGATTTATTTGTTCATGATTCTATGAGTTGGCAGTTCAGGCAGGGCTCAGCTGGAATAGTCACTTCGGTTCCTTGTGGTTTCAGCTGGGTTTACATCTGAATTTGCAGTCAATTAGCAGATTGACTGGAGAGCTGTTGGATGGAGCTGTTGTCTAGGCTGCCTCAGTTCTCATCCACATGGCCTCTCATCTTTCAGTAGGCTAGACTCAGCTTCTTTACATGATGATGGAAGCATTCCAAAAGGGTGAGGAAACTGCAAGAAGTCACATTTTGATGGCATTCTATTGGTCAAAGCAAGTCACAAGGTCAACCCAGATATAAGGGATGAGAAAATAGATTCTACACTTGATAGGAGGAACTGCAATTAATTTGTGGCCATGTTTAATCTACCATAATCTCCTCTCTGTCCAAAATTATTAGTATTCCTCCTACACTCACTCACCTTCTCCCAGGCCTAAGTATCATCATTCCATCATGGCATCAAGCTTGAAGTTGATGGATCTTGTGATATGCAGCAGTTCTGGGTGCAGATGAGGCTTCTATATATAGTACTTTTGTTGCGGCTCTTCTTGATTGAGAAATTTGTGAATTAAAAAAACAGGATATCTGTCCCCCATACACCCTAGGTACAATAATGAGATAGGGATAAGTTAATTTCAACAGATACTTACATTCAACAAGGAGAGGGACAGGAGGCCCATAATATCCCCTCAGCCATAGCAGTTCTGAAATCCAATTGGGCACATGTTGTCATACCCCTATTTTGGGGCCAGGAATATGTTTTTCTTCTGTGGGAGTGGTTCCCTAATCCATGGTTCTCCAGGACTCTTGGTTCCACCCTCTGAGGTGTCTTCTCTTTTTCATAATAGCCCGTAATTTGTAGCTTTCTCATCCTGCATCCTGCCTGTAGAAAAGTGGGGGCCCAGAGGCCCCTTTTCACTTTGAACTGTCTGTGCCCCTTCTAGGCCAAGCTGTTAGTACTTTTTAATAGTATAACTTTCTTAAAAATGGTGTGGGTTTACTCTGAATCATAGTGACAGGCACCTGTAGCCCCAGATACTTGGGAAGCTGAGGCAGGAGGATTGCTTGAGCCCAGGGGTTCAACACTGCAGTAAGGTATGATTGCACCCCTGCACTCCAGCCTGGATGAAAGAGCAAGACCTCGTCTCTTTTTTTTTTAAAAAGAGTGATATGATATTGACTGATTTCTCTAGGTTGGATAGTCTAGAAATAGGGAATGGATATGTTTATGACATGTATTACCTAATATGGCAAATTGGGAACTTTCCACTTGGATGACATGAGGGGATGCCTCATTTTTCTGGATACTGTGATTATTGTGTATGTCTAGGACCTTGGGAGATTAAACTAGAGCATGGCTTGAAACACAGGGCTGTAAGTTCTAGTTTGCCAGGTGCCTACAAATAAGATAAAAAGATTTTATGACTTCTAAAAGAACAGAATTACATATGTGGTTTCTTTGAGACTAGAAAGGATAAATAAATCTGCCAATATATAATACATAAAAAAGTTATAGGTCCAGAGGATTAAAGAGAGCTGCCCCAGTAATGAATTGTATTAGAAACTATGGTAATTGAATGTGAAGCAAAGACTTATTTTTCCACTGCTATATTGGGCAGCAGGATGGTATCCTCTTCAGGACTGCAATTCCAGCAGCGAGGACAAAACCCAAAAATCTGTGTTTGCTTCAATCTCATTCTTTTGAAAGACCCATGATTTCTAAGAACTAATCCACTTGGTGAAAGGGGGCAGCAGGCATGAAGTCCCTGAGGGGGAGAACAGTAATGTTGGGTTGGTGCAGGAGGAGAAGCGTCACAGAAGAGGTATTGCTGGGGCTGGGCCTTGAAGGTGGTAGGGAACCCTTGGCTAAGTGGGAAGGCATGAGGGGTGTTGCAGACTATGCGTTATGCAGAGGCCAGGAGGCCGGAATGTCTGTTCACACAGCAGTGATGATTTGCCAGTGTACTGTTGTGGAGCAAGGGCTAAGTTGTTAGGATAGCATGTCTTGTGCTTCTTCACAGACACCCTGGAGGTTTCTGAAAGTTCCATTAGAATGCTAAGGATACGAAGACTCAGATTAGGAGGACTTTACAGGAAAAAAAATTTTTTTTAAGATCGTGTTTACTGGCATCTTAAAAAATGTTGATATCTCTGGGTTATGTATGAACTTTACATGGAAATGTTATTCAGGCATCTTTAGTCTTACTAATTTTAAAGTAAAGCAATGGAAATGGGACCCTTTGATATAATTTTTACTTTGCTTCCAGAATTTAAAATCATTCATGCAGTCAATGTTTATTGAATATCCAACTATGTGTTAGACATTGAGTGGCAGAAAAAGGGTGGCTGCTGAAGACTGAGCCCTGAGAGAGGACTGGAAAATATGTTTGGGAAAGTTTCCTATCGTATTTAGAGATAAATCCTAACTCCTTTGCATGGCCCACAAGACTCCATTAGATCTGGCGCTGCCTGTCCAACCTACACCCTCCAACTTTGTCTCCTTACACTTTCCCCTTTGCTGTGCTCCAGCCATGCTGATCTTCTTGCTTTCTATGAAAAAGCCAAACCCATTCCCAACCTTTCGTATACTTTCTGGGAGTCCTTTTCCTCCAAATCTTTGCATGGATGCCTTCTTCTCATCATTAAGTGTCTGCTCATGTGGCCCATCCTGAAGAGTCTATCTAAAATATCCCCCTTTTCATCACTCTGGTAATTGCTGCTCTGGTTAGTTTCCTTCATAGCACCACTTTCTATCTGAAATTTTCTTATTTGTACCTACTATTTTCTGTCTCCTCTGCTAGAGTGTTGGCTTCATGAAGATGTGAATGTTGTCTGTCTTGTTCACCACTGCATCTGAAGTGCCTAGCAAATAAGTAGTGGGCTCAATAAATATTTGTTGAATGAATACAAAAGGAAAACGGGCATTGAGACATTAACAGCAGCAACCATTCAGCAAGATGGTTGCTGGAATGGAAGCAAATCCAAAGGGAGAAGATAGGGTATTCGACAAGTCTCCCCACAGAGGAACTAAAACCTGAAGAATGAGTTGGAATTTGGCAGATGGGAGGATGGGAATAGGAAAATGCAGGAGCAGTGTATGTGAGGAAGACACTGGGGAGTCCAAAGACCAATGATGTTCAGGGGCAATCCTCACCAGCTGGCTCTGTGGGGAGGGCTCAGGTATGGTGGTAGATGGGAGCTAAAGCTGGACAGGTCAACATGAATCATGCCACGAAGGGTCTTCTAAGCCTGAAAAGGAATTTAGATTTCACTTTTGAAGAATTTTGAGCCTTTTCATAACCAGGATGCTAGAAGGAATAGTCTGAATGCTCTGTCTCTGCTCTCTCCCTTCTTTTGACTCTTTAGCCTATTGTAATTGACTTGAACCCTAATCACGCCATTGAAACTGCGTTCCTTAGGCTCACCAGGGACCCTGTGGTTGCTAAATGCTTTTCAGCCTTCATTTTATACAGTCAAAGAGCAACAGCTTTGGCCCTGTTGACTTTCCTTTCTTTCCAGATCTGCTCTCTTTCTCGATTTCTCTGGTTGTACTTCTCCGTCTCCTTTGCAGCCTTCTCCTCAGCATTGCCCATCCTTAATTCTCCAGAGCTCCATTCTCCACAGTCTTCTCTTGTTCTGTGTTCTCTCCCTGGGAAATTTCACATATATCCTTGACTTCTGCTTTGATGACTCCCAAATCTTTTTTTTATTTCACATTTTTTTCTTAAGTCGCAGATCTATATGTTCACTGTCTACTAAAAAAAAGCTCTTTTCATTTGGATATCTCACAGGCATATCAGATTCAGTATGTCTAAAAAGTGAATCCATCATCTTTACCCCAACCTAATACCACTCCTAAAATTCCTGTCAGCTACTTAGTTGCCTAAACCAGAAACCTGTGAGTCCTTTTAGATTTTTTTTTCTCCATTATGCCTCATAGGTAATCAACTGCAAGTCATTTCAGTTCTACTTTACAGTTTCTCAAATAAGTCTCCTTTTCACTTCTGTTGTTACTTTAGATAGTTATCATCTCTCTCATCCAGATTATTGTTTCCCTGCCTCTAACACTGACTGCTACCCCTTTCCCCTAATTCTGTCCAGCAAATCCGATTGTGTCACCCTGACCTCTCCCCAGAGATTGGTGTGAGGAAGGAATCCAAACTTAATTTGTCGTTAAATCCTTGCCCACCCATGTCCCAGGTACCCCAGGTCCAGGTCTCTATCTCCAGTCCTACTTCTACACCTCTGATGATTCGTTCTTCTCCTCAACTCCTAAACTAAATACCCATACCACCCCTGGCTACTTACTTATACTATATGCATTCTGTTGTTCTTTAACTGTTTGTGTGTATGTATTTTATGGACCAAATGAGGGGACCTTCTCCAGGGCTTGGACCGTATCCTCCAGAAAGGGTAAGACAGTAGTCCTGTGGATGTAGTGTGCAGCCCATAAGTATTTATTGGGTTACCTTCACTAATAAGTCTTTCTTTCTTTATATATATTATTTATTAATACTGTCACTTTCTTTTTTTTAAATTGTTTTCTGAGTTTTATATTTAACTGCATGAAGACTACATTTTTCTAGTAACTTTGTGTTATGAGTTTGCTAATTAATAGGGCTTAACTTTTCATTTTCACCTAGTAAATCTGTTTTTTCATAGGTAAGGAATTCTTGCAATGTGCATGGCGGTAATAGCAGCTATTTTTGGAAGTATCAGCAAGAATGTGCTAAATACCATCAAATACTCTTACATTCTTCTGTCACTGGAAAGGCTTATAAATTGAAAAATATCACAGCTTTAATTGGATTTAAAATAGGTTAATTTGATTCTTATCTTCTTAAATGTAACCTTTCAAGAAAAAGAGTTTTTTGGTTCCATTTAAGATAAGCTATTAAGAATTAATGTGTCTCATCCCCTTAGAACATGGACTTTCTTGTTTCTGACACAGGCGTTGACATGCAGAGAAGAACTCCTGACTCTCCTTCTATCACTCCTTCCACTGGTATGGAAGATACCTGTTCAAGAAGAAAAAGCAACAGGTATGTTTTTCCCTTATCATATCAATCACTTGTGTTATCAAAATTGCACTGGGAAAAAAGTTTCATTGAGAAGTTAATTCTGCCTTGAATGGTTTGGTACAGCTTTAGATTCAGAACACTATATGTTTTGCAATTTATTATGTACTAAATATGAAAAATTCTTTAGGCAAGCTCATTTTTATTCCTTCTCATAATACAAAAACCATGATGTTTCTTAGGGGATTACTTGACTATACTGATGATTAGAAAATATGTGAAGAAGCAGAACATTTATCAAAATGAGTAAATTTAGGTATGCATTGGAAAAATGGATAGTGAAAAGTTTGAAGAAAGAAATTAAAGTTTCTTTGCTTATTTTAAAGACTGCCTTCTGTTACTGGTACTCTATAAATGACTTTTGTAGTATTTCTTTTAGCTGTAGTTTTTTTAATGTTGCCTTTAAAGGATAAATTTGAAGTAATATTTTGTTTCAAGGCTAGGTAGGATTATTACCCCTAAGGTCAATAGATATTTTTAATTTCTGATTTTGAAAAAATTATATATGTATATATAGAAAGAATATATGAAACTTTAAATGTTTAATGGAGAGATTACAGTTTTTCCCTTGACCATTTCTGGGATATGTGAATTGTGAGATGTTTAAAGATCTCTCAGGTTAAAAAAAATCCTTCTGTATTGTATTTTAATGCTTTATATGTATTTTTAGTAAATTTCTGACATGGGGCTCTTTTTAGGGAGCTGTCTAAGATCTTATAATGTTTTCCCACTTATTTGTTGATTCATGAACTCTCTGCTTCTATTTTCTTCTGAATTTGTAGAATTCACAAATTTTTAATCACTTAAGAAATGTGATTAATGCTTTTTGGGGGAAGTTGTCTTCATTGCTTGCATATTTTGTTCGGGTAGAATTTGTCAGATTTGTTTTAATTTCTCCTCTCCTCATCAGGTTTGTTTTCCCTCTCTTAGTTAAAGCTAGGAAAACACAATTTTTTTTTTTTTTTTGAGACAGAGTCTCACTCTGTTCCCCCGGCTAGAGTGCAGTGGTGTCATCATAGCTCACTGCAGTCTTAGACTCCTGGGCTCAAATGATCTTTCTGCCTCAGCTTCCTCAGTGGCTGAGACTACAGGTGCATGCCACCACGCCTGGCTAATTTTTCTATTTTTTGTAGAGATGGGGTCTTACTCTTGCTCAGTCTGGTCTTGAACTCCTGGGCTCAAGCTATCTTCCCGCCTCGGCCTCCCAGAGTGCTAGGATTATGGGTGTGAGCCACTGTGCCCGGTCCACAAATCTTTTATTTAACAGATTTTTATTTATTTATTCTAAGTTGCAACTGTGTTTTTGTATAGATCTTATTATGTATTATTGCAAAGGGAAAGATCAATTTAATTTTTTTTAGTTAGTAAGGAAAATTTGATCATTTCTTCAAGAAATAGTTATTCTTTGTTGACCACATGCCAGGCCCTAGGCTCTAGGCACTGAGGATGAAACAGTGATGTCTATTCTCAAGTGAGACACTTGAGAAATAATTTGAATGAATAATTTGAATGAAGAATTCTTTTAACCTCAGTTTTGGAGAACATTTGGTATATAGTATATGATTTTGAAATAATTTTGGAAAATCTTATAGTTCTTAAGTTATATCAGGGCTATAAACTAAATGGTATTTTTGATAATATAATATGCACCTATATCTTAGTTGTGGCACTATTGGAAGAGTTTGTAAAATGGTATGAATAGCAGCACTACATACCAGATAATCTAAAGAGTTTCTTATGTTGAAGTTGGAATGTAATATATGGTTTTAAGTCATATATACTTTCTTAATTCTGTTCTCCTTTGTTGTTTTTAAAATTAATTTGTATCCTTTGAACTAATGCCAACTAGTGTTTAGAGTGAGGATAAGTGTGGGAGGAAGTAACCTAGAGGCATAACATAAGGAAATCAGCCCTGCAGCAGAAGTATACTAAAGATAAATTCCTAAAGTGGGTGATAAATAAGAAGGTCATCAACTATACAAATTTAGTTTTAAAACATATTGAAGTTTTAAAACATATTGACATAAGTCTTCTTTCTTCCATTAGATTTTAATCTGCCATTCTCAGCTGATATAATCCTGACCAAAGAAAAGAACACAACTTCACAAAGATCCACTCAGGAAAAATTACATTTAGAAGGGAGTGCCCTGTCTGGTCAGGTTTCTGCAAAAGTAAACACTTTTCGGAAAAGCAGACGACAGCGTAAAATTACCCATCGCTATTCTATAAGAGATGCAAGGAAAACACAGCTCTCCACTTCAGATTCAGAAGCCAATTCAGATGAAAAAAGCATAGCAATGAATAAGCACAGAAGGCCCCATCTGCTGCAGCATTTTGTAACACAGTCTCCTAAAGAAGACCACCTTACAGTTAAATTTGACCACTTAGCAACCAAAGAACAGACTCCTCCTGATACCATGGCTTCAGAACATTCCAGAGAGATTATTCTAAGACAGGAGTCAAACACTGACATTTTAAGTGAGCCAGCTGCCTTGTCTGTTATCAGTAACATGAACAATTCTCCATTTGACTTATGTCATGTTTTGTTATCTCTATTAGAAAAAGTTTGTAAATTTGACATTAGCTTAAATCATACTTCTGCTCTAGCAGCTAGTGTAGTGCCCACACTGACTGAATTCCTGGCAGGCTTTGGAGACTGCTGCAATCTAAGTGACAACTTAGAGAGTCAAGTGCTTTGTACAGGTTGGACTGAAGAACCAGTGGCTTTGATTCAACGAATGCTCTTTCGAACAGTGTTGCATCTGATGTCAGTAGATGTTAGTACTGCAGAGATGATGCCAGAAAGTCTTAGAAAAAATTTAACTGAATTGCTTAGGGCAGCTTTAAAAATTAGAACTTGTCTAGAAAAGCAGCCTGACCCTTTTGCACCAAGGCAAAAGAAAACATTACAGGAGATTCAGGAAGATTTTGTTTTTTCAAAGTATCGTCATAGAGCTCTTCTTTTACCTGAGCTTCTGGAAGGAGTTCTACAGATCCTCATCTGTTGTCTTCAAAGTGCAGCTTCAAATCCCTTCTACTTCAGTCAAGCCATGGATTTGGTTCAAGAATTCATTCAGCATTATGGATTTAATTTATTTGAAACAGCAGTTCTTCAAATGGAATGGCTGGTTTTAAGAGATGGAGTTCCTCCTGAGGCCTCAGAACATTTGAAATCCCTCATAAATAGTGTGATGAAAATAATGAGCACTGTCAAAAAAGTAAAATCCGAGCAACTTCATTATTCAATGTGTACGAGAAAAAGGCACAGACGCTGTGAATATTCTCACTTTATGCATCATCACCGAGATCTCTCAGGCCTTCTGGTTTCAGCTTTTAAAAACCAGGTTTCCAAAAACCCATTTGAAGAGACTGCAGATGGGGATGTTTACTATCCTGAGCGCTGCTGTTGTATTGCGGTGTGTGCTCATCAGTGCTTGCGCTTACTACAGCAGGCTTCCTCGAGCAGCACTTGTGTCCAGATTCTTTCAGGTGTTCATAACGTTGGGATATGCTGTTGTATGGATCCCAAATCTGTGATCGTTCCTTTGCTCCATGCGTTTAAGTTGCCAGCACTGAAAATTTTTCAGCAGCATATATTGAATATCCTTAACAAACTTATTTTGGATCAGTTAGGAGGAGCAGAGATATCAGAAAAAATTAAAAAAGCAGCTTGCAATATTTGTACCGTTGACTCTGACCAACTAGCCAAATTGGAAGAGACGCTGCAGGGAAACTCATATGATGCTGAATCCTCCTCAAGTTTATCTAGTCCTTCTAATAGATTTCAAGGGATCCTGCCTAGCAGTGGATTTGAAGACTTGTTGTGGAAATGGGATGCCTTAAAGGCTTATCAGAACTTTGTTTTTGAAGAAGACAGATTACAGAGTATACAGATTGCAAATCATATTTGCAATTTAATTCAGAAAGGCAATGTAATTGTTCAGTGGAAACTGTATAATTACGTATTTAATCCTGTGCTCCAAAGAGGAGTTGAATTAGCACACCACTGTCAACACCTAAGCGCTACTTCAGCTCGAACTCATGCATGTAGCCATCATAACCAATGTTTGCCTCAGGAAGTGCTTCAGATTTATTTAAAAACTCTACCTATCCTGCTTAAATCCAGGTTTGTATGTGTGTGTGTGTAGATTTTTTTTCTCATTTTATACTTTTGAATGAGTGATAAAGTGTATGCGTTTGAACTTCTAACCTGATATTTTCAGGGCTTCACCTGTAGTATAATTGTATTTATTCATTCCTAGGATTTAATTTGAGTTTGTCAGCAAATAAAAATTCCCCTCCCATGTGAGATTTGTTTTAACCATTTATTTGTGTGTGTATGCATGTATGTGTCTTTATTGGGGTAGTTATAGAGAAGAAGGTAAAGCCATTGATTTTACTGTCTTAGTGAAAAAGTAAAGTTTTAAGTATACTTCTGAGAAAAAAAATGGATGTAACACAGATATCTAAAAGCAGGGCAAGTTTAAATTAATTTTATATTTACTTGATAGAATATAGTTAGTCATTAAACTGTTTACAAAGGTCATGTTGGAACACGAGAAAAAGCTTATACTATTTTATGGGTAAAATATACAAAATTAAAATAGTATTCACTTATTTACAACTATGTAAAATATGCATATACATAAAGTAATAATTATTGAGACAGTGGCATTAATGAGATTATTTTTTAAATAGCATATTTACATTCATTACCTAAGTAATACATGTAGAAAAATTAGAAAATACACATAAGCAGAAAGAAGAAAACTAAAATTACTTTTTATTCCACCGATAAGTTTTCCAGATTTTGTGATTGTCAAGACTGGTACATTTAAAAAATAATTTTATAAATAAACTTGCTTTTGCTAGGTAGACTGACTTTTCAAATTCATGCATATATAATTTTAAAAACTTATAAAAAATATAACCAATCATTATTATCTTCATTTGTGGCTTTTTTTGTCCATCTGAGTACAACTACTTTAAAACTAATATTGATGTGGTCATTGCCTTACAATTATTTTTTAAAATTTCTGACATTCTGGCATTGTTTAAGTACAACTGACTTTTATTTGAAAGTTTTGTAACTCCTTGGCTTATTTGTGGACAAACTGCATCTTTGTAAAGTAAGGGCTGAGAATCACTGAGCTGATTTATATTAAAGTTATTGCTAGGATTCTAACGATCTAGACACGTGAGTCTCACCTAAGACAGGGCTGAAACCTTTAATGTTTGTATCATTGACTCAGATCAACTAGCCAAATTAGAAGAGATACTACAGGGAAACTCATGTGATACTGAACATTCTGAAGAATGTTGGCTCTGTAGTTTGGTTTTTTCTCTTTATGAGGTGCAGATTTAAAGCAAACAAAAAGTCTTAAATGAACCATCAGACAGACAAATGAACAAACCAATGCCTGCTTGCCCTCATGGTGTCTACCTCAAGTGTGGTGGAGGTTGAGGTATTTAGAATTTATATAAAATTTGCCATTTGAAGAAAAATATTCTTACCTAAATTACTTCATTTAATTTGTGACACATATAATCTTTCCTTTTTAAATACTGCAGGAGCTATATGTGCATTGTTTCTAGAAGGGTGTAAGAATAATTTAGAAAGTAATTTGAGGTCCTGGTCACACTTAAGAACTTTAGCCAGATAACTGATGAATCAAATTAGGTAGTATTTGGTATATACCACATGCAGTATTGGCATATTACATACTATATGTACCTATTTATAAATGTTGCTATATGTAAAATCTTTTATGTGTTTTTTCCCCACAGGGTAATAAGAGATTTGTTTTTAAGTTGTAATGGAGTAAATCAAATAATTGAATTAAATTACTTAAATGGTATTCGAAATCATTCCCTAAAAGCATTTGAAACTCTGATAATCAGCCTAGGGGAACAACAGAAAGATGCTTCGGTTCCAGGTATTGATGGGATAGACACTGAACAGAAGGAGTTGTCCTCTGTAAATGTGGGTACTGCTTTTCATAACCAGCAAGCTTATTCAGATTCTTCTCAGAGCCTCAGCAAATTTTATGCCAACCTCAAAGAAGCTTACCCTAAGAAATGGAAGACTGTTAACCAGAATGTTCATATCAACACGATAAACCTATTCCTCTGTGTGGCATTTTTATGTGTAAGTAAAGAAGCAGAGTCCGATAGAGAGTTGGCCAATGATTCAGAAGATACTTCTGGCTATGACAGCACAGCCAGTGAGTCTTTAAGTCATATGCTGCCATGTTTATCTCTTGAGAGCCTTGTCTTGCCTTCTCCTGAACATATGCACCAAGCAGCAGACATTTGGTCTATGTGTCGTTGGATCTACATGTTGAGTTCAGTCTTCCAGAAACAGTTTTACAGGCTGGGTGGTTTCCGAGTATGCCATAGATTAATATTTATGATAATACAGAACCTATTCAGAAGTCACGAAGAAGAGCAAGGAAAAAAGGAGGCAGATACAAATGTAAAGGAAAACCAAGATTTAAACAGAACTTCTCAACCTGAGATAACTGCAAAGGAAGATTTATTGTCTCTGACTGTAAAAAGTGACCCCACACCATCAGAAACGGGTAGTTTAAAGAAGAGTGCCGACAGTTTAGGTACATTAGAGCCACAGTATATTTCTTCCATAAATGTGGAACAAATTTCTGCTACCGAAGCTGCTCCTGAGGAAGCAAAGATACTTACAAATCAAGAAAGTGAGACCTCACTTCAGAGTATACGACTTTTAGAAGCCCTTCTGGCCATTTGTCTTCATAGTGCCAGAACTAGTCAACAAAAGGTGGAATCGGAGTTACCTAATCAGGTAATCCCTTGCCCTTAGTCCAGCTCTTGTGTAATATATAAATACACACACACATACACACACACATATGTATTTAAAGTTCTAAGTTAATACTATTGTAGTTTTGTTTTTCCAAAGATTTTACATTTTGAGATGTTCCTATATGCTTAGCACAGTACCAGGTACTGCGGAGGATACAAAGGAGCACGTGACCCAGTTTTTGCCCTAAAGAAGCTTAAGATTTAGTTTGGAATGGAAAACCCCACGTGAAAAAGTATATGCATTAAGTGTCAGATGAATAATAATGGATGTTGTATTTCAAAGTTCAAAGTTCTCAATTTTGGTGTGATGCTGTTGTGTACCCTGCCCAGATCCGCTTTACCAAACTGATGAACCCATTGCCATCTGCTCTTCAGCACCTGTCTTCCAAGGATTGCCCTTGGCTGACAGGAGGCGCTTTGCCTGGAGATGCCTGGGAAGGGTGCTCATAGCTAATGGCTAATGGACGTGACTCTGGGGTGAGGACAGTCTCTGTGGTACGGTTCAGGCTCCAGAGCTTCCCAGAAAACTAGGCTGGGACCAGACTTCTCCTGAATCCACATCTTTGTCCGGATTTTCCCCCTGACCTCTTCTGCTTCCCTCATACCCTTACAAATTTTCTCCTGAGAGAACTTCTTAACAAAAAAGGAATCTAGGGACCTTGGAATGTGACAGACCTCTTTCTTCTTGTTCTTACTAACTAACCCCTAACTGTTCTGTCAGCCAACAGGCTCTTCATTCTCCAGTTCCAACCTCTATATTGCCTCATATCTGAAAATTCTCGATGCTTCTAAATTGCTCACAATTAAAATCTACACTCTGTACCATAGCATTCAAAACCCTTCACAGTCTTGCTTTTATTTCTTTGCTTAGCCTCATTTCTTGCCATTCCTCACTATGCTGTAGTCAAAACCAAACAAAATTAGTAAAGTGCTTGATAAATAAAAATGTTATTAATTTTAATGATAGGATGTTTACATAAGAGATAGATATTTACACTCATTTTACTTTTATATCAACTATAAATCGACTAGCTTTCTACTTGTTAAGTAAATATTAATTTGTCATTTGTCTTCTTACCGTTTAGTTTTTTAAAAGCATGTTATTAATATTCTTACTCTCTTTTATTTTACCTTAGAGCTTGTCTGTGGAAAATATATTGTTTGAAATGAGGGACCATCTTTCCCAGTCAAAGGTGATTGAAACAGAATTAGCAAAGCCTTTGTTTGATGCCCTGCTTCGAGTTGCCCTGGGAAGTCATTCAGCAGATTTTGAACGTAATGATGCTATGAGTGAGAAGGTATGAATAACATATGGTTGTGTTATTTGGGTATGATTAGCAGAGGCAGAAGTGTGTGGGTTGGGACTAGGACACTGATGAATGTGGTTAGAACACAGAGACCAGGATTTGATCAGGTGAGTTTGATGGATCATATTTTCATCACCTGGAATGGCCAGTATTTCGTCACTACCCTATCTCATAAAAAACAGGAGGGCAATATGATAGGCTTTTCTTTACATAATCTGGAAATTTACTGAGAATTACTCTCAGTTAAGGTAGAAATGTATTATTTGATTTGATAAGTCTTATGTATATCTGATAGTTTATTAAATGATAATTCAGGGATGATGCTGATTTAGCTATCCTATCTGGTCCTGTGTTGTTGGTACAGCTAATATTTCTAGAACTTTCTACTCAATTTTAAATCACTCATTATAAAAATGTCTAGTAATCATGTAGAAAATAGCCATCGCAGTGTTTCAGTTGTTTGTGTTAACATTTTTATCCTTAAAGAATTATTTTAATTTTTTTCCTAAAACTTTGTGATGCATATTTAGTTCATTTCCCTCTCATTGCATGTTTCTTTTAGTTTTGTCACCTATCCTTTATCTTTATATAACTTCTCTTTTAACTCCTTGTATTAGCCATATAGATGATGTTTATCATCTCTTGCCATAATATTTTATGTTACCATTTGTCATAACTTAAAAACTTGCTGAAATAGCTATTAACGCCTTCTCATTATATTGCTGAATCAACTGGTTAACTGTAAAATGTTAAAATACCTATTTTATTCTACTTTTTATTGATGTTACAGTGATCAGGTACTTTGAGCTTCTTTAAAGTGAAAATATTTTCTAGAATGAAAGTATTGGTAGCATTTTTATAAGAAAAGGAAAATTTTTTGCTGCAAGGTGTTACACAGAAAGTTAATGGTGGAACTCTTGTTCTGAGATGATTGTATATGGACAATTGCATTCTGAAATCTTTAAATTAATCCCTTTGAAAAACCATCATGTCTCCTCTAGTTATCTAATTTATGAAACATTTTATGTATAAAATCCCTAGGAAAAAATCTTTTTCTATTAACAAATCTATAAAAATAATATATATGAGCAATCTTCAACAAGTTCATGGAAAATGTGTATTGTGAAAAAACTATGCATGGATTTCAAAATTTTTGCACCAAAATAAACTTACACTAACTTGTTATAATGCTTCTGAAAATGATCTAGTTTGAGGCACTAAGAAGCTCAAGTCATCAGTTCGAAAGGACCCCCTATCAGAGCAACATGTATCCTGTTAAAATTGAAGCAAGAACAAACATCAAGTTTATGGTGAAACTCGTATGGAAGAATGGTGAAATCATTGATACTTTACAGAAAGTTTGTGGGGACAGTGGCCCAGAGAAATCAGCAATTTACAAAAGGATAACTCGTTTGAAGAAAAGACAAGACAACGTTGAAGATGAAGCCTGCCACGGCAGGACATCCACATCAATTTGTGAGGAAAAGCTTCATCTTCTTCGTGCCCTAATTGAAAAGGACCAATAATTAACAGCAGAAACAACAGCCAACAGCGTAGACATCTCGATTGGTTCAGCTTACACAATTCTGACTTAAAAATTAAAGTTGAGCAAACTTTCCTCTCGATGAATGCCAAAACTATTGCACCCAGATCAGCTGCAGACAAGAGCAGAGCTTTCAATGGAAATTTTAAACAAATGGCATGAAGATCCTGAAGCATTTCTTTGAAGAATTGTCACAGGGAAGGAAACTTGTCTTTACCAGTACAATCCTGAAGACAAAGCACAATCAAAGCAATGGCTAACAAGAGCAAAGGTCATGGCAACAGTTTTTTGGGATGCTCAAGTCATTTTGCTTGTTGACTTTCTGAAGGGCCAGAGAACAGTAATGTCTGCTTATTGTGAAAGTGTTTTGAAAAAGTTAGCCAAACCTTTAGCAGAAAAATGCTTGAGAAGGCTTCACCATAGAATCCTCCTCCACCATGACAACACTCCTGCTCATTCCTCTCATCAAACAAGGAAAATTTTACAAGAGTTTTGATGGGAGATCATTAGGCACCCTCATTACAGTCCTGATTTATTTGGCTCCTTCAGACTTATTTTTGTTTCCTATTCTTAAGAAATATGTAAAGGATACCCTTTTTTTTTTTTTTCAGTTAATAATATAAAAAAGACTGTATTGACATGGTTAAATTCCTAGACCCTCAGTTCTGTAGGGATGGACTAACTGGCTGGTATCATCACTTGTAAAAGTGTCTTGAACTTGATGGAACATATATTAAGAAGTAAAGTTTATAATTTTTATTTTTATCTTTTAATTCCATTTTTCCACAAACTTTTTGAAGTCTACTCGTGTTTATTAGCATTAAGTTGTGTGAAGTATAATTTCACTTCATTGTGGTTTTTAGTCATTTCCTGTTGTATAACTGGAATGAAATTTCTTAAATAGATTTATTTTTCAATAAAACTGAAATGACCTATAGCTTTCTCTGTTAGAAACTTTCTTTTTTGAGGTAAGTTGTCTGAGAGTTTCTGGGAAATTTCGCTGAGTGAATTTCATAATTTATAATGATTAATATTGATTACTATGGTTTTTTTCTTTAAGAAAATATTGAAGCTGTCCTTAATATGACTTTGAGTAATAAATATTCTATTACTAAAAATGAGCAAATGTTACAACTTTTACCTTTGAATTACACTGATCTTACAGAGTCATCAATCTGAGGAAGAACTGTCATCCCAGCCTGGTGATTTTTCAGAAGAAGCTGAGGATTCTCAGTGTTGTAGTTTTAAACTTTTAGTTGAAGAAGAAGGTTATGAAGCAGATAGTGAAAGCAATCCTGAGGGTGGCGAAACCTGGGATGATGGTAAAATATCACTGATGCGCTTATCTCTGGATCTGCAAGTCACATTGTTAAATAGCAAAGTGGTTCATAATAATACTACTTTAGGATTTTGTATTGCCTTCCAATTTAAAAAGTGTGTTATGTTATCTTGCTTGATCTTCACAAAAAATTCCAGCATTTGTATATGCAATTATGAGATGTATCTTGTTATGAACATTTTCTGAATGCCTAAAAACATGGGATAAAATAAAAATTCCCCACTTTCATATATATTCTAGTGTGAAAGAGTAACAATACTAGAAATAAATAGTCTGAAGAAAATAAAATCAGGTGATATAATAGTAATAATGATCGGGTGGTGTGAGTGAAGTCTTTTCTAAAGAGGCAATGTTTACATTGAGGCCTGAATAAAAACAAGCTAGCCAGATGAACACTGTCAGGAAGAGCATTTCAGGCAGTTTGTTATAAAGACTAAATAATATAGGGAATGCAGAACATCTTTCTGTGACATCCAAGGATGCTGCAGCATCGATTTCTTCTTAGTTTACCACAGCCCATCTTGACCTTAGGATGGAACTGCATTGCATGTGATCCTTTCTTTGTCTCTGGGTTTAAAACTTGGGTAGAATGGAAAAGATGGATTGATTACAGCCAAGATATTTCTGGGAAGGCTCCATCTTGTTATATGCTGGTCTTATGAATGTCCCAGTACTATGAGTCTTTACTGAGTTTACAGTAGTTTATCTTCCTTACAGCTGATTTTCTCTTTCCCATCCAGTAAATGGGAATAATCACTGATATCTTACTTAAAGGACTTGATGGACCCATGGCTATTGCCTTTCAAAAAGCTATTGGCTTAATGGTGGTTTTCTTATAGTACAATTTTATCATAGTATGGATTTAATTTTATAATTGTGGGTTTCCTCTTTTTTTATGTTTTATGTTTGCTAAGCAGATGTCAAGAAATTTATAAATTTCTTAACTATATGAACTTCTTTTAAGAGTGTAGCAGTCTTAAAAGATCATATTAGTCAAATTTTCCAAAATGTAATATTCAGTAAAACAGGGTCTGTTTCTCACTTATGAAAAAGACAAAGTTGAGAATTCATCCATCCAATAGCCAAGCTTACTATTTTCAAGCAATATGGACAGGCACATTGAACTACATTGTGATTTAGGTATTTTGGGGTCAGAAAGTTTGGGGCAGTTTTTTCCCCCAGTCACTTCAGGAGGGATGTGTTAAATCTGTATCCCATGTCTATAAAAATGACTGTTGCTAATATTTGTAGTTCTGTTGAAGATCAAAATTACTTTTTTTTTTTTGAGACAGAGTCTTGCTCTGTTGCCCATGCTCGAGTGCCAAGGCGTCAGCCTAGCTCACAGCAACCTCAAACTCCTGGGCTCAAGCGATCCTCCTGCCTCAGCCTCCCAGGGTGCTAGGATTACAGGCGTGAGCCACCGCGCCCGGCCTCAAAATTACTTTTAAGGCTGCTTATTAATCTTCAAAATATCCATAAGACTTGATTATTCAGGCTACATATTATAATCAAGTGTCATGTTGTAGGAAAAGGTTTTGTGAGCATCTTTTAGATAGCACTTTGCCACCCTAGATCTAAAATGATGAATAAAGTATGAAATAGTCAATGTTTAGGGAATAAAAATAATTTTTTCTTTTTCCCTTTCCAGGGGTAGATGTAAAGTCTGAAACAGAAGGTTTTAGTGCATCAAGCAGTCCAAATGTCTTACCTGAAAACCCCACTCAAGGAGAAATAATATATCCTGAGATTTGTATTCTGGAATTAAATTTGCTTTCTGCTAGTAAAGCCAAACTTGATGTGCTTGCTCATGTATTTGAGAGTTTTTTGAAAATTATTAGGCAGAAAGAAAAGAATATTTTTCTGCTCATGCAACAGGTAAAAAATATATTTAGTTAAATGTGATCAATATTTATCAGACTCATGCCCTAAAAACACATCTCCTTATGTATAACCCAACTTGTCTGAAAATTGAGATGATTGACTACTAATCTTTTATAGTACTTTAGGTGTGTTTTTACCTATAAATGGTATTCCAAAATCTTTTAATTCTATAGTTCTCTAAAGTAGCATAAAAAATTAATGTTGTCATTGGCCTCGCCAGTAATGAATATGTTTCTGAGAATGGGTAATATTTTTAAAATTGCATGTAATTTTAGTATGTGCCTATTGTTTTGGAAAATCAGAAACAGTATAAAAAGAAAACAAAAATTATATGTAATCCTACACATAGTATTCTTTCCAGTTATTTTAAAATACATAAATATTTATACAGTAGACCCCCCCTCAGATAATTTATTATGACATTATGATTCCTTCATGCTTCTGTGAGGGTGAGAAATTTAATTTCTTACATTTTGTTTTTTAATCTTCAGGGAACTGTGAAAAATCTTTTAGGAGGGTTCTTGAGTATTTTATCACAGGCTGATTCTGATTTTCAAGGTGAGTTGAAACTGTTAGTTTTAAACAATAGTTTTGCAATTATTTTATGTGAAGAGTTGATTATAATGGTTTCCATTGGCATGGTGCCCTGTGATTTCAAAAGTGTCTTTATATGTAATCATCTCATTTGTTTCTTAGGTCCACCCAATGAAATAGACATGATGTAAGCATCTTTATAGAGAGGACAATCTAGATTCCAAGGGATTGAGTTGTTCAGGGGCATATGCATAGAAGTGGCATTGCGGGGATTGTAACCCAGTCTAAACACTGTGTTGGTGCCGTATCTGATGTTGATTGTCTACTCTCTACCTAGTACTTCCTCAGACATTTGACAAATTCATAATTAATATATGATATGCTTTCTATCCACAAGAAACCTAAATTCTAGTTAGAGAATTAAGGCTAACATATATGAAACACTGATTTGGGTTTTTCTGATGTTTCTCTGTGATTAAATTCAGGTTATATTAATACATTTTTTGGTAGGAATACTCAGAAGTGATTTTGGGTCCTTCTGAGTGCATCATGTCAAAGGATTTATGATATCTAGATCTTATTACTGGTGATGTTAACTTTGATCACATGTATCTGCCAGGTTTCTCCATTTTAAAGTTATTATTTTCATTTTATAATTAATAAGTATCTTGTGGGGAGATAACTTGAGACTATGTAAATATCCTTTTTCTTGTCATACTTTAACTCACTAATTTTAACATCTATTGATGATTCTTGACTGAAACAGTTAATGCTGTGATATTTACCAAATATTGATTTTATATTTTCTTCATTCCTTCTGTGTTTATTAATTGAGATTGTCCTGTAAGGAAAGCTTTCTCTTTTCCCCCATTTATGTATTTAGTGTATGGGTATATTTTTATTTGTTGCGCTAGGCACTTAGTGAACCTTTGTGATCTGAAGACTTATTTCCATCTTCGCTCTGAGAAATTCTATTCCATTATTGTTTACTAACAGCTTTATTGGGATGTAATTCGTGTACCATACAACTCACTCATTTAAAGTGTACAGTTCAGTATTTTTTATTGTATGTACAGAGTTGTGCAACCATCACCACAATCAATTTTAGAACATTTCATCACCCCCAGAAGAAACCCTGTATTCTTTAGCAATTACCTCCTATTTCCCCTTAACCCTGCCCACAGAGATCCCCCTGCCCTTGGCTGTCACTCATCTACTTCCTGTCGCTATAGATTTGCCTATTCTGGATATTTCATATAAATGAAATGTATGTTCTTTTGTGACTGGTTTCTTTCCCATAGTGTGTTTTAAGCGTTCACTTATGTTGTAACATGTTTTAGCACTTCAGTTCTTTTTTTTTTTATCATTTAGTTCATTTTATTTTTTATTTTGAATGGATTACTTTTTTGTTTTTCTTAATAGACTTTAGTTTTTAGAACAGCTTTAGGTTTACAGAGAAATTGAACAGATAGTATAGAGAGTTCCCACATTATACCCCTCCCTGCCAGTTTCTGCATTATTACATCTAAGTTTTTATGATACATGTGTTATAATTGATCAACCTGTATTGATGTATTATTAACTAAAGTCCATAGATTATTCAAATTTCCTCAAGAATCCTATCCAAGATACCACATTATAGTTAGTTGGCATATCTCCTTAGGCACCTCTTAGCTGTGACAATTTCTCAGACTTTTCTTGTTTTTGATCACCTTGACAATTTTGAGGTGTACTGGTCAGGTATATTAAAGAATGACCATTTATTGGAAGTTATCTGATATTTTTCTTGTGCTATCTGATTGTGATTTTGATTTGCATTTCCCTAACGATTGGTGATTTTAGCATCTTTTCATGTGCTTATTGGCCATTTATATATCTTGTTTGAAGAAATGTCTTTTCAAGCTTTTTGCTTATTTTTGAAAATTGGATTTTTTTTTGTTGAGTTTTAGGAGTTCTCTGCATATTCTAGATATTAATTCCTTAACAGATATGTGATTTGCTAATATTTTTCTTACATTCTGTGGTTTGCCTTTTAACTCTCATGATGGTATCATTTGATGTACAGAAGTTTTCATTTTGAACTCTAATTTGTCTATTTTTTTATTTTGCTTCCTGTACCTTTGGTGTCATATCCAAGAAATCATTGATAAATCCAATGTTATGGAAAAATCCTAAGCTTTCTTCTAAGAGTTTTATAGTTTCATCTCTTACATTTAGGTCCTCAATCCATTTTGAGTTAATATTGTATATGATGTTAGTTAAGGACCCAACTTTATTCTTCTCCATGTGGATATCCAGTTTTCCTAGCACCATTTGTTGAAAGATTGTCCTTTTTTCCCCCATTGACTGGTCTTGGCACCTTTATCAAAAATCATGATTACACTGGACTTTTGGGAGGAAGATCATAGAAATAAAGTACCATTTTTATTGCATCATATCAAGGGCACATACTGTTAACATGATTTATGACTATTGATGTTGACCTTGATCACTTGTATTAAGTAGTGTTTGTCTAGCTTCTCCACTGTAAAGTTGCTTTTCCTTTTCCCCCTTTCTTTTCTTTTTTGGCTGAATAACATTCCATGGTGTGGATATACCACATTTTATTGATTCACTCATCAGTTGATAGACAATTGGACTGTTCCATTTTTTGCTATTATCAGTAATACTAATATGAACACTTATGTATAAGATTTAGTGTGAATTTATGTTTTCATTTCTCTTGGGTCATTTATTTTGGGTCATATGGTAACTCTATGTTTAACCATTTGAGGAACTGACAGACTATTTTCCAAATGACTGCACTATCTTACCTTCTTACCATCAGTGTATGAGAGTTCTAATTTATTCACATCCTTGCGAATACTTGTTATTATCTGTCTCTTTTATTATATCCATCCTAGTGGTTATGAAGTGGTATTTCATTGTGGTTTTGATTTGTGTTTCCCTGAAGACTAATAATGTTAAGCATATTTTCATGTGTTTCTTAGTCCATTTTGTGCTGCTATAACAGAATGTCACAGACTGGATAATTTTTTTTTTTTTTTTTTTTGAGACAGAGTCTCACTATGTTGCCTGGGCTAGAGTGAGTGCCGTGGTGGTCAGCCTAGCTCACAGCAACCTCAAACTCCTGGGCTCAAGCAATCCTACTGCCTCAGCTGCCCGAGTAGCTGGGACTACAGGCATGCGCCACCATGCCCGGCTAATTTTTTCTATATCTTTTTAGTTGTCCAATTAATTTCTTTGTATTTTTAGTAGAGACGGGGTCTTGCTCTTGCTCAGGCTGGTTTCGAACTCCTGAGCTCAAACAATCCGCCCGCCTCGGCCTCCCAGAGAGCTAGGATTACAGGCGTGAACCACCGCGCCCGGCCCAGACTGGATAATTTATAAGGAACAGAAATTTATTTTCTCCTAATTCTAGTGGCTGGGGGTCCAAGATCAAGGTGCTGGCATCTGGCAAGGGTCTTCTTGCTGCATCTTCACATGGCAGAGGTGAAAGGGCAAAGAGGCAAAAAGGGGCTGAATTCTCCCTCAATTAAGGACATCTATCCCACTCATGAGGGCAGAGCCTTATCACCTCCTAAAGGTCCCTCCCCCTAACACCACCACAGCAGTAACCAAAATTCAACATGTGTTTTAGAGGAGGTGAACATTCACACCATAGCAGTGTGCTTATTGGCTATTTGTATATCTTCTTTGGAAAAATACCTATCCAAATCCTTTACCCATTTTTAAATTAAGTGATTTGTGCTTTTATTGCTGAGTAGTAAGAGTTTTTAATATACTCTAGATGCAAGTCTCTTATTAGATATATGATTTTCTCCCATTCTTTGAGTTGTCTTTTCACTTTATTAATGGTTTACTTTGAAGTACATTTTTTTTATTTTGATAAAGTCAGATTTATTTATTTTTGCTTTTGTTGCTTTGCTTTTGTGTCATATGGGAAGGACACAAACATTTATCATTTTTAAAATAATTTTCTCCTCTCCATTTTCTTTGCTCTTTTTTTTCTTTCTAATATATATATTTTTTTAATTCTTTTTCTTTTCTTTCTTCCTTTTTTTTTTTTATTCCTGGACAGGGTAACTTCTATATTTTTCCTTAAATTCTAATTGTAATCTTGGGCTTTCTGGATTAATCTTGTATGTGTCTTACCTTTCATATTGTCTACTTCTCTTTTTTTGTACTATATTCTGGGAAATTTCTTCAATTGTAATCCAACCTGTTATTTAATTTTTAATTTTGGTAATTATATTTTAATATTTAAGAGTTCTTTTTTCTTTGATTTTTTCTGGTTATTCCTTTTTCATACAAGGCTATAGTGTCTTCTTATATATATATCTGGTTACATAATGAATATTTTAAAGTTTTTTCCATCCCCTAAATTTTGTCTTTTTCCTTTGGATTCAGTTTATCAATTTATTTGTTTTTTATATCTCAATTTTTCTATTTTAGACTGCTGATTCTCTAATATTTTTATCAGCCTTTTTAACCCATTTACATTTTAAAAAACTGTTGGAGAGTTCCTATAATATTATGAAAGTGAATTTGTTCTCCTTTTCGACCTCTTTCCTGAATGGATATTCTGTTGAAGAGCTCTGTGTGGATGTGCCAGTGGAAGATTAGGGGGCTCCCCAAATACCCTAATGAAGAGAACTTTACTTTGGGGGACCATCAGGGCCACTATTACCCCATGTGGCACTTTGCATTCATTAGAAAAATACATCTTCCACATGTAGAGCTTGGCTAACAAATAGTATCTTTGCACTAAGAAAAAGGTATTCCTTTCTTTATCCAGGCAACACATCCCAACACCAGGATGCATGGCTTAATGAACAGCATTCAGGCTTTATTTCAGTCTAGATTTTTCCCTTTGATTAGACAAGTTGACCAGTTTGCAGACTGTACAGTTATACTCAGTAGCACCGATGCTAACATCCCACTATATGTCTGAGCTTTTGCCTGGCAATCCATTCCATTTCTTTAGAGAAGAGTTATCATGTTTTTGGCCTCAAAATGAAAGCTAAGCTGTCTGTACTTTCTACTGAGAAACAGGGAGGGAGGTGGATATTCACAGATAGATCTGTCACTAATCCCTGTGTTGTCAGCCACACTCTCACTTCTTCACCAGACTTTGGGTGGACAGATTGGCTCCCCACTGCTCTGACACTCCTTGTAATTCAAAGGAATTCTAGACTGTGGCTTTCTTTTTTATCCAACTACTTTTCCTCTTCAAGAAATATTTTTAAATCTCTTACCTGATATGCCCTACTGCTCCCTCCCTTTTTTTTTTTTTTTCTTCCCGTTATGGGTTTCTTCCTTTTTATAAAAATTCTGTACTTCAGTGCAGTGAGTTTTTAGTAGTACACAGAAGCAAGTATATGTATTCATTCCCCTATTTTGAACTGGAACCTATCAGTTTTGAGCTGGAAAAAAAAAAAAAAAAAACCCAAGCACATACATTTTTTACTTTGATCACATTACTTTCCTATTCAAAACCCTTCATGGATTCATATTACTTACAGGATTCATGCTATTTTGTAGTCTTGTTGCAAATAGTCTTTTCAGATATACCTACTGTTATATTACTGCATCAGCTCTTTGCGTCTACAAAATACGTTACTTAAACATGGCTTCTATTCTTTAACTTTCAAGTCTTACCAAACTACCAGTCTTTTAAGATACATCTCGAGTTTTACATCAGGATTATTTTTGTTGTGTATAAAGTGAAGATAATGTTGAATTTGCAGGATTTTTTTTTGTGATAGTCAGCTGAGATAATGCATGTAAAAATACTTTGAACTCCATAATGTGCTCTACCAATATTAGTTATTATTTTACTTTAAATAATTTTATGAATTTATGTACTACCATTTATGTTTTATGGTAAACCCATGGTAGAATAAAGAAAATGTTCAAACTAAATAGTTTGTGCTATTTAAGCAAGTAAATAATTGTTAATGTTTCCACTTTTATTTCCTGTTATCTAATTTTACATTTAGAAAGTGATAGTTATACTTTAAACATTTTCAAGATGAGAAGATAACAGACTATTTTGTGGTATGGGAGTGGTATCAACTTAATTTAACAAATACTGTGTTGATTTATGCTTCTTTAAGGAATGCCCTTAGTTTACTTGTAGCTAACCAATCTTTAAGAAAAGTGGTTTTGTTGTTTTTGACGGTTGGTTGGTTTGCATTTAGTTATATTGCTATTTCCTCAGCAAATTTTGTGATTACTGTACTAGATTTTTTATAATCCATTTAGGATGTTACAGTAGTGTTTGCTTTCAATGAAATTGCTTATTTCCTTTAATCAAATATATGCTAGTTTTAATTTTTTCCCTCTTTCTTTAATTTAGCATGCCAGAGAGTATTGGTGGATCTTTTGGTATCTTTGATGAGTTCAAGAACATGTTCAGAAGAGCTAATCCTTCTTTTGAGAATATTTCTGGAGAAATCTCCTTGTACAGTAAATATGCTATAATTTTTACATTTTTCACTGGTACCTTAATAGAATGTATTTGTAATTATTTGGAAATGTCTAAGCTCTTTATTTTGATGTGGCAGTTGTATAGTCAATTTTGTATTATTATGTGTGAAATTCTCAATTATTTTATTATTAGCACATATTTCAACCATTTCACTTTGATTTTGACTAACCAGACGTATCATTGGGATCATAGTCCCTTTAACACACCTTATCCCTAATTTTGTGCTTAAGAAATGCCAAGTAATTTTAATTACTGAAGAGAACTTAATTACGAATAATCATAACCATCTTAGGGATTGTGCTTTTCTAAAAAATCATTATCCACTCTTCATACATCTTCTACACTTTTTTCCATTGGTGTAGCTTAGTGGCTTTTAGACTGCTCTTTGCTGGGAAACCCATTTTTATAGTGAAATCTTGGCTAGAAGCATAAGCAAGTAAAACAGAAAACTTTGGAGCTGTTTTGTTTGAAGCAGGAATGGATGTTCCAGAGCTCTGCTTACTTTACCACCCCTCTCCAGTACGGAGGACCCTGAGGGAGCTCTGTGAAACAAAAGTTAAAAACTGCTAGTGTAGATCATCAAGAACTGTTTATTTATGGAATGCTTCTCTTACTTCTTCTGAGTGTATTTCTCATTGTTGTAATCAACATCAGATGTTATTTTATGCATGCATAGGGCATTGTACTAGGTTAATCTTTTCTGCTTTTTTCCTTATCTCTCCTAGTCATTGTTCTGCTCTTTAATTAAATGCTCATTTCTTCATATATTTTCTATAAATTCTACATTTCAGTTTAACTGAAAACTTGTAATTTGAAATAAAACCTTATTTCAATTGCCAAACACTGATAAAGGAAAATTTACTTGATTATGAAAAAGCATGTGAAATAAGCTGGAAAATAATTGAGCACTCAATTTTATGAAGTCTGGAATGCAATAGTATCATTCAGAAATCTGGAGAATTTGTAAGATCTCTGGTTATATCCCTGATTTTAAAATAATTGAGAGAAGAACCATAGTTTATTCAGAAGTAAGCATCCTTCTTTGGAAGAAATGATTACTGATATAAGTATCATATTTAATTCATAATGCTTAAAACCAACTCACAGACATTAGATTTGTACCATAAAAACATCTGAACATGAAACAAATTAAACACAAGAGATTACGTATTTTAAGAATGAAATCTCTGTTTCATATTTTATCTCAACTACACAAAAATGAAAATTTTAAAGATTTGGTAGATAGGAAGGTATTTAAATAAGAATGCTCATGTGTGTGGGTATGTTTGTATTTGCATTTATAACCTGAATTTCAAGACTATCATGTACCTTGCAGCATGATTATAAAGTTTTATTTGTTTTTCTTTTTCTCTAGAAAATTATTCTTCTGGGTATTCTGAAAATTATTGAAAGTGGTAATACTATGAGCCCTTCACAGTATCTAACCTTCCCTTTACTGCATACCCCAAATTTAAGCAATGATGTTTCATCACAAAAGTGTCCTGGAATTCTGAACAGTAAAGCCATGGGTTTACTGAGAAGAGCACGAGTTTCACGGAGCAAGAAAGAGGCTGATAGAGGAAGTTTTCCCCATCGGCTGCTTTCCTCTTGGCACATAGCCCCAATCCACTTGCCATTGCTGGGGCAAAACTGCTGGCCACACCTGTCAGAAGGTTTCAGTGTTTCCCTGTGGTTTAATGTGGAGTGTATCCATGAAGCTGAGAATACCACAGAGAAAGGAAAGAAGATAAAGAAAAGAAACAAATCATTAATTTTACGAGATGGCAGTTTTGATGGCACAGGTATGATGACGGGGTTATCAGATTTGTACACAAAGATTTTCCAGACAGCAATTTTGGTTGAGCACTAAGACTATAGCAATGTTCTAACTTGCTCTGAACACGCTCTTCCCCTTAGATGCCTTACTTAGTGGTTGTAGGTCCTGACTTCCAAAGCCTGAGTTGTCAGATGACCTTGACTCTCCTTTTTCTCTCTACTTTTGTCTTTTATGAAGGTGGGGTGGTCAGCACATTTCAACTTCTGCTGGGGTCATCAGCCCTATTTCTGGCCTCTTTCCTGGTCTCATTACTGGATGCAGGCGGCTCTTGATGTTAGAAAAGGAAAGGATAAAACCCTGTAGCCACTTTTCTTTCTGCTACCTGTTTCCCGACCCCTGTTAGTCAGCCCCCATTTCGTCTTTCTTTTATTTCAAACTCTTCTTCTCATGCTGTGTGTTACCTCAGTGGCCCTTTCCTCGTTCCTGTTAAAGAGTGTTTAAATGGATCAGCCATTCTCCAAAGTTAGAATAAATGTTATTCCAGTTCTTTCTATAACTGAAGAATTGTTATTATACTGCTGGGAAACTAAATCTTGTTACTCATACGCCTAGGACAGGAAGAAACTATTCATTAAAAAGAAGTTTATGGTGGTGGGAAGTAAAGTAGGTAGGATAATTCTTAGGGTCCATCGAAAGAATAAAATGACTGAATTAAGATATGTTTAGGGTTTTACATGTACCTGGAGTACAGGCCTCAATAACTCTTCATTCCACAAATCTTACCCACTGGAACCTCTGTTTTAGAACACCAGGCCTTCACTAGTGTCTAATTTCCACTGACCTACGGATGGAAGGAAAGGAAAAATCCCTAATGACACTGTGAAGATTGAAATGGTGGGAGATGTCACCTGATATCTGCAGTTGGAGCTCTGGATCCATTTTTTTATAGACACATTTCCTTTTTAATCTCAGTAGATAATTTGTAATGTTTCAAGTAGTAATAGAATTTTCTTTTGGGAATTGAATTTTGCCACCTAAGAAGTGATAGCCCTGCATGTGATAGCATTGGTTATGATGCTGTCTAATGTATATCGAGCACTTTCTGCGTGGGAGCATTTTAACAAGTCAGTAGGTGCTCATACTATCTGTATTTTTAGATGAAGTTAAGCAGCATGACCAGCTTATATAACTATTAATAGTAAGCGATGAAAAGGGATTCAAACCCACCTTTATTTAATTACAGAGCTTTTAAACATCATGACCATACTATAAGCTGTGCAGATTGCTTTCTCATATTTTAATGGGGGCAATCACAATGTAAACAGTCTCTTATAAAATGAACAAATATACGCAGTGACCTGAGAAAAGTAAATATTGGAAATTTTTTAATATTTTCTTTTAAAGATGTATTAGAAAACTTATTTTAGAAAGATGATTTTGTATAAACACTAAAACATATAAAAATAGTAGACATATATAAAAATTTTTGAAGAGAGATAAAAAAAATATTGCAGTGATATCACATCTTTTGTCAACAGACTGTATGCCTTTGAGCAAGTTTTTTAACCTCTCAGCATCTCAATTCTATCACCCCATAATATTTTCCTAGTCAGATTTTTGTGAGCATTAAGTTAAGAAATATTTGTAATATTCTTATAGTTCTTAGGTACACACTGATTTTTGTCCTAGTCTTTTATTTGTACAAATTCAAATTTGGTATGTAGACATTTTTTAAATGTCACATCAGATATGCATTCTCTCTGTATATTGTATCTTGGGCAGTAGTCCTCAAAATAATAAGTTACTTTAACTCTTCTTTTTTAGGGATATTGTTATTGCTGGGGGGAGTAGTTTTAAAAATTGGTGGTGGTTTTACCTGTTGAAAAATGGCAACTAATGATATATATACAATCTAGTAACTAGTAATGTTCATCTTCTCTAAAAACCTGAGACTTTGGACATGCATTTTGTATTTTTGTATATCATAACAGCTTTCTATAAAGTCACATGCATTGTAATAACAGGTAGTTCACCATACATTTTCAGGTAGTTCTGGGTTTTAAATGGTGAGGAAGAGGAGTCAGGCTGACCAGATAGCCCAAAGCCTGTAAGCATTTATCTTTGCTTGCCTTAAAGAAACATTAATGTAGTGTTTCAGAATCATTTAGCAATTACATTCAAAGATCACTCACCAGGGAATCTAAATAATGAATATATTCAAACACTACATTTTTCTGAAAAGATTTTTAATATGATCAAGTTTTAAAAATTGTACCACTGTGATAATTACAGAAGGACTTTTGGTAGTATGAGGCATTGACAATGGTGTGTGTTCCCTGGACCAGGGTCAATGATGTCATAGTGGCCCAATCCATTTGATGAAAGAAGCTTGGTACAGATTGTAATAGGTAATCACAGTGACATTATCATCTGGTCATGCCCACAATTATACATTTTAAAACATTTAGTAACTTTTTTTTTTAGAGACAGGATCTTGCTCTTTCAGCCAGGCTGGAGTGCAATGGTGCAATCATAGCTCACTGGAGGCTCGAACTCCTGGACTCAAGCAATCCTCCCACCTCAGCTTCCCAAGTAGCTAGGACTACAGGCACACACCACCACAACTGGCTAATTTTTTTTTTTTGTAGAGATAGGGGTCTTGCCACGTTGCCCTGGCTGGTCTCAAACTCCTGGGCTCAAGCGATCTTTCCACCTGGGCCTCCCAAAGTGCTGGGATTATAGGTGTGAGCCACCATACCTGGCCCATTTAATAACTTTTAAAACATTCAGTTATAGGTTTTCACCTATTGTGCTTTTTTAGAATTAACATCTATACTTTGGAAATATTGTTGTTTGCAACAGGTCAGGCTTAGACATTCTGGGTAAATAATCTACTACAAATGAACAACGATGCTTTGTATTCTTCTAAATTCTCTTTTCCACTTAATTTTTATGAACTGTTCTGCTGATCATGTTAACATCTTTTTCTTGTAGAGAGTGACAGACCAGAAGGTGCAGAGTACATAAATCCTAGTGAGAGACTCATAGAAGAAGGATGTATTCATATAATTTCCCTGGGATCCAAAGCATTGATGATCCAAGTGTGGGCTGATCCTCATAATGGCACTTTTATCTTTCGGTATTGATTATTTTCGACTCCCCATGAATAAATCATGTATTTAAACAATTTATGTAAGAAACATTAATGTGAAATCTGCTTATAAAAATCATTACAGCAAAAGAAAAAGCCTTATTAAAAAAGAAAATACATTCTAATAGTTATTAATAATACTTTCATAACAGTGTATTATTCTATCCAAAAATCTGTAAAGTCTGAAATAGATTATGTTAATTCTCTTTAGGTTTTAGATCAAATACTATAATCTTTTTTTTTTTTTTTTTTTTTTGAGACAGAGTTTCACTCTGTTGCCCGGGCTAGAGTGCCATGGCGTCAGCCTAGCTCACAGCAACCTCAAACTCCTGGGCTCAAGCGATCCTTCTGCCTTAGAGTAGCTGGGACTACAGGCATGCGCCACCATGCCCGGCTAATTTTTTCTATATATTTTTAGGTATCCAATTAATTTCTTTCTAATTTGAGTAGAGACGGGGTCTCGCTCTTGCTCAGGCTGGTTTCGAACTCCTGAGCTCAAACAATCTTCCCACCTCGGCCTCCCAGAGAGCTAGGATTATAGGCGTGAGCTGCCGTGCCCCGGCCTCAAATACTATAATCTTATTCTATTGAAATATTCTATCAAATTGCAATGGTCTTACAGTGTTATTAACAGATGTTTTCTGCATAGATAATTGATAGCCAATATCTAATAAGCTTGGATTTTCCTTGCTGTCTTGTCCTTTACCCCCTATCTCATTTATTAAGTGGTATAGATACAAGTCTTCTATTTGTATTAAGTAAATAAGAATAATATGATACTGTCTATATAAAACTCAAATCTAAACAAATCAATGTTATTTAGGCATATATGCTTTGTAAATGTTATAAATGTTACTAGGTGCTTTATATACATTATCTCATTCTTTCAGTAATCCCTCAAAGTAGGTTAGACCTCCAGTACTTCTGGTAATTAGACATTTATGTATAATTTGTATTAATTTTTCTATGAACCAAGTATTACATTGTATTAGTAATTTCTAAAATGGCAATGACTATATAAACGGTAATAATAAATATTTTTTTGCAAACTGAATTCCGAAAACTATTGCCTAAATTATTAACACCAGCCAATGAGCCTAATCTATTTTAGTCCATGAATTGAGATAATAATATAATAAAATAACTAAGTAGATTATGGTGTAAAAAAAAGAATTACTGACTTTTCAAGTAATTTTTAGAAAAATAGAACTGATTTTTAACCTCACTTAAATATGTAGAATTATAGTTGCTATACATGTGTTAAATACCGAGGTCAGAATTTTCATGTTTTGAGCCTATGCCTTTTCTCTTTTTCTGTAGTGTGTGCATGGATTCAAATGATGACATGAAAGCTGTTTTACTAGCACAGGTTGAATCACAGGAGAATATTTTCCTCCCAAGCAAATGGCAACATTTAGTACTTACCTACTTACAGCAGCCCCAAGGGAAAAAGAATATTCATGGGAAAATCTCCATATGGGTCTCTGGACAGAGGTATGAAGCATTGTGAGAAAATGCATATTAATCTCAGTTATAATTTTAAATTTAATTAGTCTGTTATAGCTTCTGAAACACATTACAGAGAACTGTAGGTAAAATTTATTATGTATTAACATAGGAGTTGGACATTTTTTTCCTATTTATCATTTTCCTACCAAATAAACCTCCCTTGGAAGTAACTGCTGAAAATTAACATTTGGGTTTGGGGAGCATGCAGAAACCTGGACACTTAGACATTTGTATCAATTATATTAGAGAGAAACAGAATCTATAATTTTGTCCCTCAAGCCCGTATGCTATAAAAGTGAATCCACAGAGAATTATTTAAATTAAATGGCTAATAAGGATAATACCTAACTTAAATTAAGCTTTCAAAATAAATTAGAATGACTAGAGAGAAATATATTAGGTGATAGATTCAGGTAGAGTACTGAGTGATTTTACTGCACAGGAGAATTGTGGGCCAAGTTAATAAGAAACATTTTGTGGAATACCTTAATGTAAAGTTTAACCCTGTATGAACTATAAATATCTTGGATTTGTAAGAGTTGGGAAGTATTTTAATGAATGAAATAACATGGAAGAAGATACAGAATTCAGAACCAGTAGAGCATGGGAGAGGATCAAGCTGACTCAAAGAGTCTAAGTTGAATAATGAGAAAGAAAAATGAATGGGCATGGTGAAGCTACCTGCCAGGAGGCTTTGAATGCCAAGATAAGTCTAGATTTAGTCAAATGGATCATAATAGATTACATACTTACTATGTTACAGACTTTCTGCTAGGTGCTTTATATACATTACCTCCTAATTCTCTCAGAAATCCCTCAAAGTAGATTGGACCACAGAAATAACAGATTAGGCCAGGCGTGGTGGCTCATGCCTGTAATCCTAGCACTTTGGGAGGCCGAGGTGGGCAGATCCTTTGAGCTCAGGAGTTCGAGACCAGCCTGAGCAAGAGTGAGACCCCGTCTCTACTAAAAAAATAGAAAGAAATGAGCTGGACAACTAAAAAGATATAGAAAAAATTAGCCGGGCATGGTGGCGCATGCCTGTAGTCCCAGCTACTCGGGCAGCTGAGGCAGTAGGATTGCTTGAGCCCAGGAGTTTGAGGTTGCTGTGAGCTAGGCTGATGCCACAGCACTCTAGCCCGGGGAACAGAGTGAGACTCTGCCTCAAAAAAAAAGAAAAGGAAAGAAATAACAGATTAATCTATTTTCATTAATTCATTTGTTCATTCTTCACATTTATTGAGGAATTACTATTGTCCAAGCACGTGGCTATGTTAGACTTGGAGGATAGTGGTAAACAGGACAAACACCTTCCCTGCCTTCTTGGAACTCACAGTCTAATGAGGAAGCAGAAAACAAGCAAACACAATTAAATATTTACAAATTATGACTAATATTGTGAAGGTAACAGGTTCTGAGAGAGAAAATATCAGGTTTAATACTTAAGATAGGTGGATCAGCAAAGGCCTATCTAAGAACAGGGTATTAGAGCTGAGACCTGAAGGAGGAAATGGAGCTTGCCCTGAGCAGGTGGGAGGAGTGTTCCAGGTAGAGAAAAAGGCCTGGGGAAACTAAGTGAAGACTTTGTGCTGGGCAGTTGTGCAGACATTGTTTACAGCTGTCTAGCTTACTAACAGAGGAAGGCAGGGAGCAGGGGCTTGTGAGTGGCTTTAGGGTAGCTGGTCCCCAGTGTTTGCCACAGGAAAGAACAAGCTTTGGAGGTACACTTTTGTTTTATTCATTTAAAAAAAATGTGAAAATATATAATTAAAGCCTAATTTCCATATCCTAAATAAAATGCCATCTAGTATGAATCTTCACACCTGCCTAAGCCAGAATGGCAGCTACAGCCAATCATCAAATTGGTTTCCAGAACCTATAGTTAAATCAGTTGGAGTTGGGGCTGGAGCTGTATGTAGAGAGCCTCTTTTTCCTTTCTCCTCTTAATTTCTTGAGCTCTCAACTTTATTCAGATTATCTCATTTAATTCTTCCAACAACACTGTGAAGTAGGTATATTATTATCTCTATTTTACATATGAGGCAACTGAGACCTGGAGTGACTTGGCCAAAGTTATGCCATAAGTAAGGGCCAGAGCTGAAACTTGAACCTAGATTCTGACCCTGGATAGAGTCCATGCTGTGAAACTCTATGCTATGCTGCCCCTCCAGCCTTTTTCTTCTTCAGGTCAAGTGACAGGTGTAGGAACCATAAAGTAATTATTAGACATGTCCAGAATGAGAGATTACATTTTTGCCATTTTCACAGTTCTGAAGTTAGTGAGCATAGTCACTTGATTCATATATTCTTTTACTTTTTTACCCACCCACTTATTTGTACATTCCTTTGAGGGATTTGTTTGCCACTCTGTACAAGTTAATGATGTCATCAGTTAACAGAGCAGTGAGCAAGTGACCAAGGACAAATATATTGTTCTGTTGACTTAAATTTGGTGCTGTCTTCATCAGTTGAGCTATAGAATAATTTCTAAAGGAATACATTTCATGAGGCCATTTTAAATAATACATAAGATACTGAAAATGACTCATTAATGCTTTCTATTAATTGTTATTTGATGAACAGCATATAAATATGGCATAACTATATGGCACAGAGTAGATACTTAATATTTGTTGAATTCATTTTGTATTCATCCTGTAATAGTTTTCTTTTATGCTTAAAAATATTATTTTAAAAAATTTTTTAAAAATACTATTAATATTTTAAGTCATAATGCCACTAGGTGGCAATAGTGGTTCAGTCACAGCCATTTATTTGGTCCAAGGAGAAGCATGTCATTGAAGGTATCTCACATCTTTCCTTTATTAAAAAATTTCCTGTTAAAACAGTTACTTTCTTATGTTAAATATGAAACAGCCTTAGGGAAAAGTTTTAAAATAAATATATAGAAAGTTGAATTTATTATTAAGAGCTAACCATGTTAGCTTATTCTAAGTCTTCATCTTATTTACAAATTTTATTTAGACTTTGCCTTTATAGGTTACACTTATTATCTTACCATGGAGTTTAAAACATTCCTAAACTAGAGGTAGAGGCTTGGCACTCTGAAGTTTTACTAGTCGATGTTGTCCTCCTAGCTTTTGTGTGTCTCTCTGTGAGAAAGCCTTACTTTACCTTTTCAAGTCCTCTGTAAGTATTCCTGTAACCTTTATCTATGAAGAAAAAGAAACTAATCAAAAGCTCTGTAATCACTTAGCACTGAAAAAACAGAGAATGCAAAAAGCATTGACATTTCAGTGGCTAGACAGAGTAAAATTCGGAAAAGTGATCTTGTTTTTCTGATTAGTCTTCGAAGCCCTCATAGAGGACATAAAATTTTTGGAAACGTGCCAAGATGGGAGACTTCTTTGTAAAATTAGGGGGAGTTGGGGAAGTAAGAAGGTGGTTGGTTTGTACCTGTAAACCAGGAAGATACATATGCAGAAGTCAAGTGGCAAAGAAAACTAGCAGCAAATGTCCGGTCACACTTCCCATGGCCTATTGTGGGCTCATCAGGTATCTCTGTTCTGCTACCACTCCTGTGGCTTGCAAACCACCAGCACCTCTGCCCAAAAGACAACAGAATCAGCCCCTTTCCCTCCCCATCACCAGCCATCTGACACTGAACCAACAAAATTATTCAAGAATTTCCCATTGTTAAACATTCATACTTTAAAAATATTTGAAGTATTTTTAAAAATACTAGTTCTCCCTCAAGTCATTGATTTAACTTTGTTTTTAACGTAGGAAGCCTGACGTTACTTTGGATTTTATGCTTCCAAGAAAAACAAGTTTGTCATCTGATAGCAATAAAACATTTTGTATGATCGGCCATTGTTTATCATCCCAAGAAGAGTTTTTGCAATTGGCTGGAAAATGGGACTTGGGAAATTTGCTCCTCTTCAATGGTATATTTTCCCCTTTGAAGCATTTCTATTTCTTTTTCCAGTTGATAAGTATTAAACTAAGTGAATTAACCTGGCTAAAATATTGATCTCTGTTCCTACATCTATGTTTTAATAAGTACTGTATTTATAAGATTCTAAGATAGACTTTTTAAATATTTTAACATTTTTATAATCTAGATATGTCTTACAATTGATATATCCATTTAATATAGAAATGTCTCTCTCCTCCCTCCAAAAAAAGAGAAACTTAAATAGACATTATTTTACAATCCTGGAAAATTCAGTATCATGACTAGTAAGCTTATTGTCTCTTTTATTTGTAATTTTAGTATATCCTATACAAATATCAAATTTTAGGGAGAAAATGAAATACATGATTTTTAAAAATATTTCATTAAACCTGATACATAATAGCATTTCAGGCAATGTTTATTGAATAGACAGGAAGGAATAAAGATATCAATTCAAATTTTATTTTAAAATGGAATTTACCAAGATATACTTTCCATTGATTAAGTAAATCAAAACAAAACAAAAAACCTGTTTTCTGGCTTAAGGAGAAAATAGAAATTGTTTAATTTTATTTTATCAAAGCTTCACAACTACCTTTATATATATTAATTCATCTTCCATCATAGTTGGCATAACTTATTTTCTCATGACACCAATTTGGAAATTGAGGTTTTATCAATTTTGTAAAATATAGTGAACAACTGAAAGAATCTGGCAAAAAAAATAACTCTTGGTTTCTTGCTTTTTATAAAAAATTCTGGTCAGAGTGTTTTAAATAACTACCATTATTTTTATGCTATCCAGGAGCTAAGATTGGTTCACAAGAAGCCTTTTATCTATATGCTTGTGGACCCAACCACACATCTATAATGCCATGTAAATATGGCCAGCCAATCAATGACTACTCCAAATATATCAATAAGGAAATTCTGCAATGTCAACAAATCAGAGAACTTTTTATGACCAAGAGAGATGTGGACATTAGTCTCTTGATTGTAAGTTTTAATTTAATAAGTTTTAATTTTATAGTAACTGTATGTAGATACATTTGTTGAAATATGTAATTAGTTATAAATTAATTTCTAAAGTTTTTCATTTTGTTCCTTAACATTTTCTTTTTTTAGAATACATTTTTTTCTGAAAAAATTTAGAACTCTAACTTCCTTCAAAATATATTTCAGGTTTTATACTTACATCCTCTTTTCCTTGAAATTATATTTCTGTAGTAAGTTTATTGGTTTAGTTTATTTTATACCTACTTGCTTCTTATGAGAAGTACAATTATGGGTCAGAGATATTTCTTACTTGAAGGAGATTGCTGTTTTGGAATGGATTTTTTCTTGTTGTTTTTGTTGAGGTGCTACAGGGGGATCTGGTTGTCAATTGTTATTGGGTGAGGGCCAGGCATGCTAAATGCTCTATAGTACATGAGCACTATTGTATAACAAAGGATGATCCCATCCCAAATGTCTCACCATTAAGAAAACATGCTTGGGCACGGTAGCATGTGCCTGTAATCCCAGGTCCTCGGGAAGCTTAGGTGAGAGGATCACTTGAACCCAGGAGTTCAAGATCAGCCTGGGCAATATAGTGAGACTCTGCTTCAATTAAAAAAAAAAAAAAAAAAACAAAACAAAAAAACCTCACAAAACATGCTTTAAGGAATGGCTCTCAAACCTGATTGTGCATCAGAATCACCCAGAGGGCTTGTTAAAATATAGGTCACTGGCCGTGCGCGGTGCTCATGCCTGTAATCCTAGCACTTTGGGAGGCCGAGGTGGGCAGATCGTTTGAGCTCAGGAGTTCGAGACCAGCCTGAGCAAGAGCGAGACCCCATCTCTACTAAAAATTAGAAAGAAATTAATCGGACAACTAAAAATATATAGAAAAAATTAACCGGGCATGGTAGCGCATGACCGTAGTCCCAGCTACTCGGGAGGCTGAGGCAGGAGGATCGCTTGAGCCCAGGAGTTTGAGGTTGCTGTGAGCTAGGATGACGCCACGGCACTCTAGCCTGGGCAAGAGAGTGAGACTCTGTCTCAAAAAAAAAAAAAAAAAAAAAAAATAGGTCACTGGGCCAGAACTTCTGATTCAGTAGGTCTGAAGTGTGGCCCTGGGATTTACATTTTTAGTAAGTTCCTAGGTGATGCTGATGCTGCTGATTGGGAACCACACTGTGAGAACCTCTGCTTTAGGGAAACCAACGAGCTCACACAGTGTTTGTTCTCTAATTTTTGGTTAATCCACTTGTTTTTTTAAAAAAATTTTCCCTAATTTTTTTATTTTTCCTGAAAGAGCATAGGTCATGATAAAACTCAACAGAAATTATCACAAATAAAAATTCTAAGGGTTTTATGTGAAAACTCTTTCTAGAAAGCAAATTCTTGAAGTCTGATTTAGTAGTTTGGAGGTTATGAGGTCATGAAAGAGTGGTCAGGGAGAGGTGGTGCCCTCGTGTCAAGGTACGGGGTCAGGTTTCTGACTAAAACTGCTACAGGCTTGAAACTTTATTTTCCAACCTAATCATATATAACAGACTGTGTAATTGGTTTAGTGTGCAAATATGCTGAGTGGTATGTCTGATTGCTGTGAGTCATAAATGATCAAAGCCCAAGGCCCCCACCAACATCTGTGAGAAGACACTGAATATGTATGACTTCCCTGAGCCTGGGGTTGGCAGCAGCTACCACTGAAACCACCTCAAAGCACATTATACATTTAAAATTTACCTTGGATAGGTGCAGTGGCTCATGGCTGTAACCCTAGCACTTTGGGAGGCTAGCCTGGGCAATGTAGCAAGACCTTACATCTACCAATAAATAAATAAATAAATAAACCAACTTACCTTAATTTTTAAAGTAGTTTAGAGAATCTTGACAGGAAGCCAAAAGCTGATTGCGACTATCCTTTACATAGGAGAGATATTGAAAGTTATATTTAATTTTCATTAGGTGTGCTGACAGTCTAGAATTTTATTCTGTTAGAAAGAAAGATCTACTTTAGAGTCACTTTTAAATGAGTAGCCAACCCTTAAGCAAATCCAAAGCAAAAATTTCAGGTAAATTGGCCCAGAGTTCCCAGTATTTGTAAGTGCTTAGAACAGTGCCTGCCTGGTATGTAATGTGTGTGGTATAAGACTTAGCTATTATTCATATTAAGTATAATTTTGTATTTATTCTAAACAACTGATCAGAGCTGGAATCCTCCTCAACTTTGCTGTGGTTTGTACTATTGATCGCTGCTAAATGAAACTGCTTTGTGAGAAGCAGCCTTACTTTTCATGTTCATCTTTGTTTAGTGTATTACCTGTCTTTTTTAAAACAAATAAAAAGATTAGTTGGGTGTCTTTTCACTTTGAAATATCTGTTTGCTAGTTGATAACTTTTTAACTTGTTTAGTTACTGAAGGAAAATATTTGTATTTCAGGAAAGTCTTTCAGTTGTTTATACAACTTACTGTCCTGCTCAGTATACCATCTATGAGCCAGTGATTAGACTTAAAGGTCAGATGAAAACTCAGCTCTCTCAAAGACCCTTCAGCTCAAAAGAAGTTCAGAGCATCTTATTAGAAACTCATCATCTAAAGAATCTCCAGCCTACTGAATGTAAAACTATGCAAGGCATTTTGCACGAGATTGGTGGAACTGGTATCTTTGTTTTTCTTTTTGCTAGGGTAAGAATCACTGATTATAGTTTTGTCTAAAGAGAACTGCTTATTTATTATTGATAAATTTAACAGTTTCTTTTGGATTACCGAAAAAAGCTATACTCCACTGTATTAAACTTTTAAGATAAGAAAATTACATATTAAAGATGTCATCAAGCTTTCTGCCACAGATTGTTAAGGTTTCTTCTAATTTATGAAGATTTTACAAGTTTTCTATTAACCAGAAATGTAATTAGAACAATTAAATGTTAAAGGTACAAGATGTAAAATTGCTTTTGGAAAGAAAAATGTATGCCATAGTAATATGAAAGAAATGTACTTTTAAAATAAGGTTTGTGGGGCTTTTATCCCTTAAAGCTTCCCTATATGTGGAAAAAACCAAAGATCAACAAGTAAGTTTAAAAAAAACCCTTTAATTTATTTGAGTTTTGAGTTTTTTTAAAGAGCAGAAATACAGGAAGTTTGACTTGGGCCATGAGTACCATTTGAGAACAATCATTTAATTATCTGTTCTATTTAGTTGTTTGAAAGCAGGGACAACATCTTTCCTGATGCAGAATAGGCAGTGAGTAATTGTAGATTGATTATCTTAGGGATTGCTGAAATCTACAATAGGGTGCACAAATAGTCTCACTTTGGTATAAATCATTTCTACTTCCTCAGGGTCCATATCCATGTTTAATTAAAGCAGCTTGATCTTCCTTCATTCTCAGAATACTTTCTTCATTTTATCCTTAAGTATAACTTATACAACATTATCAAATTTTCACTGTCTCACTAACTGGCTTTCTTTGTTTAGTGGACCACCTTTGATTAATTTTGCAATAATCAGCATTTGTTGTTGATAGTGTTCTTATAAATATCTTGTTAGCATTTGACCCACCATATGCTGTAAGCTATCTTTCCTTCTCCGCCTCTTTCTTTTTCATACTTTTTTTTTTTGCATCTAATATCTAGTTGAATAGATTGTCCTCTAATGTTTTAAAAATTAAAAGCCCTTCATTTAACTCCTTATCAACATCTTGTGACCTCCTTTTATACCATTGTATAATTTCAAAATGAACATTCTTTTTTCCTTTTTCCTCAAGGTATTGAATATAATTTTGTTATGATTATTGTTACGCAGGGAATGCATCCTATAGATAAAAGTTAAAGTTTTATCTTCATACATTCAAGATATTGCCAATAAGACTTTTAAAGTATATTTCCACATTTAAAACTTAGAAACTTTGTTTAGTATCCTTCCTCCTCCCTTACAAAAATAAAATTCAGTCTCTTTAAAATCCTTACATGCATAGCCTGCCTTTTGAGCCTAATCTCCTCAATCCAGCCAAAGAGGCAACCTGCAGCTTTGCAGATGTACCATGAATGTCCAGTTTAGGCCTTTACCCCTCTTCTGGCTGTGCCCTGCCTGTAGCCACCCCTTTATTCCTGCTTCCAGGATTTGGCTCTCCTTCTAGGCCATTTTCTCTCTGTATATCCTTCCCTAAACCAAGTAGAGAGGGGTCAGAGTGGTTTCTGTGCTCTCCTGGCATACCTATTGTTTTGTCTTCTTTGCCTTCTTTATCATGATAATAGGTGTGTGTTGTCAGAAAGCCTTGGTTGAATTGAAGTACAAGGCACAATATGTGGTTTTTATATGTGCATCTTATCTCTTTGATTAGACAGTAAGTCCCACTGGGGGCAGTTATCATGTCTTTTACTTCTTTTTATCTTCCACAGCACATAACTCAGAGCCTGTTTGTTGATTGACTAATTTATCAAAAACTTGAGGCATTTTGCTGATACTTCAGATCACTGATTATAAAATGCTACTGACCTCTAAGGTTGTTAATGTTATTTTAGTTCATTTATAGTATATGTAAGAGATTAAAGAGCATGGAATTTATGCCTTTCTCTCAGTTTTGTTTATCCACAATTCTTAAATAAGTACAGTATGAATATTAAAAAATAAACTTTCATAGAAACTGGTGGATTGATATTACATAATGGAAGATAATCATACGTGTTACATTTTTACTCTCAACAAACAAGTAGTAAAATATATTCACTTTTTTTTAGGTTGTTGAACTCAGTAGCTGTGAAGAAACTCAAGCATTAGCACTGCAAGTTATACTCTCATTAATTAAATACAACCAACAAAGGGTACATGAATTAGAAAACTGTAATGGACTTTCCATGATTCATCAGGTGTTGATCAAACAAAAATGCATTGTTGGCTTTCACATTTTGAAGGTATGACCTCATAAAATTTATTCTTATAGTTTCATATGCAGTGATACTCATCTCTTCATCAAAGTCTTTCAATAATAGTTTTGTGTTTCAGTTATTCCTGAAGAAAATGAAGGAAACTCAGTATATATTTAATTAAGCTGGTTACTCTTCTGGTTCTTTTCATCATTTGAATAATTACATTTTTCTTTTCCTTATAGCATTTTAGAAAAGTTAAAAAAAAATTCATAAAACTTTAGATCTGAATGGACCACAGATGTCTCCCAGGCCATTCCCTCTTCTATAGATTGATGAATTTATTTATTTCGGCTCCCATCATTATGGAACACAACCTAGTTTTCCAGACACCTAGAGACATACCATTCCATTAGGCAGTTAGGCTGCTACAGGGTTAGTTTTTAAAGTCACTGATATTGGTGTTAGTTTTATTATGATCCCACTATCATCATATACTTACATATCTTTCTAGCTAAAAGCATTTGGTAACACTGTGAAAATATTTTTCTCTGAAGGTATTGATGCTAAGGCAAAAGATGATTCTCCTACCCTTACTTCCACCCACTCCTCTTTAAACTGTCAAGATCCATACATTTATGCCATAAATCCTTACTACTTTTTTGAAAAGGTTTTAAAGCCTAATGGCAGATTAATTTGATTTAAAAAGTAAAGATAGAATGTGGTTTGTTTTACCCCATGTTTGAAACCTAGTAATTACTTACAAATATTTGAAAGTTTAGATTTTTCTATTAATCTGAATTGTTTTACAAAACAAAGATATTTTGTGAAATGTTGAATTATTTATATTTTCCTTTGAATTTAATGTTATGATTGCTAAGATTGAAAACTTAATGTTTCTGTTGAATTTTTTGATTAATCAATTATTAATGCATCTTATATTAATACTAATTTTCTATAGACTCTTCTCGAAGGTTGCTGTGGTGAAGATATTATTCACATCAATGAGAGTGGAGAGTTTAAGTTGGATATGGAGTCTAATGCTATAATCCAAGATGTTAAACTGTTAGAGGAGCTATTGCTTGACTGGAAGATATGGAATAAAGCAGAGGCATGTAATATGTAGTTTTTTTCTATTTTTTTTATTGTGGCAAAATACATGTAACACAAAATTTACTATCGTAACAATTTTTAAGGGTACAGTTCAGTGGCATTAAGTACATTCACAATGTTTTGCAACTATCACCACCATCTATCTCCATAACTCTTTGTTGTATAAAACCAAAACTCTGTACCCTTTAAACAATAAATCCCTTTCCCCCCTTCTCCCCACTCCCTAGCAGCCACCATTTTACTTTTGAGTCTATGACTTTGACTATCTAATATAAGTGAAATCCTATAGAATTTGTCTTTTTGCGATTAGCTTATTTCACTTAGCATAATGTTTTCAAGGTTCATCCATGTTGTAGCATCTGTCAGAATTTACTTCATTTTTAAGGCTGAATAATATTCCATTCTATTTATATACCACATTTTACTTATCCATTCATCAGTTGAGGGACACTAGATTGCGTCCACATTTTAGCTATTGTGAATAGAAGCATATACTTTTAAATGTTTATCTAATTCTTCTTCTGAAGAAAAGAATGAATTTATTGCTTCAGTGTAATGTTACACTGCAATGTTAATTATAAGTAGAAATCTGGAGGTTATTTCCCATGCAAAGGTTTCAACAGCCATGGGTAATGCTGAGCTGCAGGGTAAGGATCAGAGCTTGGGTTGGCTGAGAAGACTGCACTCAGGCAGGAGCATATAGGCTCATTTGGATCAGTTGAAGGCTCACATTTACCGAAAACTCTGAAAGGGGGGCATGCTAAAGTCAGAGGAGTCAGGTCCAGGAGAGGAAAATGGACACATTTCTGAGTAGGAGAGCCACACTGGCTGGGAGTTGGGATGGTGATGTGTAGAGTAAGGTTTCGTCATAAGCATAAAGTAAGCAACATAGATAGATCTTAGGTCTAGGCACTGCATCTCAACACCTGTAATGAATGGGCTGGACCCAGCCAGGGAATGAGTATAGAGCTGTTTCCTTTCTGCCCTAGTTTTAAGCAGTCTTAATTGTATAGGCTGTTAGGCCCCTTAGTTCTAGTGTAGACTGTTCCTTCCACATGTGGCAGGATTCCAGTAGGTATTGGTGGTAGGTATTGGGGATTTTTGCAAAAAACTAGATTGTCTACAATTAATTAGAGTATAATATTATCATCAAACATAATTATTTAAAGAGCAATTCAGAGTATATATATCTTTAGAATTTTAAAAAATTGGTTATTCTGAAATTTGGCAATAGTCCCTAAAAATTTACACATTACTGATAATAAGTTGTGAAGCTAGAAAAAACTTTTCTAATCTATTATTAATAAAAATGAACATCAACAAGAAAAAATCAAACAACCCCATCAACAAATGGGCAAGCAAAATGAACAGAAACTTTTCAAAAGAAGACAGAATAATGGCCAGCAAACATATAAAAAAATGCTCAACATCTCTAATCATTAGAGAAATGCAAATCAAAACCACAATGAGGTATCACCTAACCCCGGTGAGATTGGCCTCTATCAAAAAAACACAAAACAGCAAATGTTGGCGAGGATGTGGAGAGACAGGAACACTTCTACACTGTTGGTGGGACTGTAAGTTAGTGCAGCCTCTGTGGAAAAGAATTTGGAGATACCTCAGAGAGCTAAAAATAGAAATACCGTTCGATCCAGCAATAGCACTATTAGGCATCTACCCAAAAGAGCACAAAACATTCTACGATAAGGACATCTGCACCCGAATGTTTATGGCAGCACAGTTCACTATTGCAAGAATGTGGAAACAACCCAAGTGCCCGTCAATCCATGAGTGGATTATCAAAATTTGGTATATGTTCACAATGGAATATTACTCAATCATAAGAAATGACAGTGATCTAGCACCTCTTACACTTTCCTGGATTAAACTTAAGCCCATTATCCAAAGTGAAGCACCACAAGAGCAGCAGAACGGGACCCATTTGTACTCACCATCAAATTGGTATTAACTAATCAACACATAAATGCACATATCAGAACAACATCTATTGGATGCTGGGGAAGGGGGAGGGTGGTGGGAGGAGGGGGGAAGAGGGAGGAGGGGAGCGGTATTTGTATACACAAGGAGGGCAATGCACACTACCCGAAGGATGGACATATTTGAAACACGGACTTCGGTGGGGGGGGGAACCAAGGGCAACACACGTAACCTAAACATATGTACACCCATAATTTGCTGAAATAAAAAAAAAAAAAAATGAACATAGCTCAAAGGTGCTAGAGGAAAGAGAATGATTTTTCTATTCTTCCTGTAGAAAATTATATTGCAAAATTGTTATATGAAGAGGCAATTAAAGAATGTGGAGCCACAAAACATGAAAATATTAAAAAGACATGTCAAGTAGCTAACTAAACTCTTACTATTTTTCTGAATTTTGTGGTATTTATGGTATTTTTCTGTTTTGTATGTCTTCTAAAAAACAGGCACCATGTTTTTCAGTTACTATGTGCTTATTGGTGTGTGTTTATTTTCTCAGCAAGGTGTTTGGGAAACTCTGCTAGCTGCTCTAGAAGTCCTCATCAGAGCAGATCACCACCAGCAGATGTTTAATATTAAGCAGTTATTGAAAGCTCAAGTGGTTCATCACTTTCTACTGACTTGTCAGGTTTTGCAGGTACTTTTCATGCAACTTTATTTTTGGAGAGATACTTTCTGCAGTTGTTTCTGTGTAATAATTCAATACTGTGGACATCAAATTTTTGTGGGACTTTCAATGGGATTTTTTTCTCTTTTCCATCTTCTCTACTATCCAGGTTCTCTTCTTTCAACAAATAGCAGAGGAGTTTTTCAACTCCTGCCTCTTATAGCTTGATCTTCACATTGTCATCATTCCTAACTCAATTACAAAAGAACAACTACTAAATTTCTGAGATTTTTTTTTTATGTTGGGATATAATAATAATTTTGTGGTGTCTTAAACATCATAGTTGATTAATGTTTTTAAATTTCAAAGTATTATGGTGGTATAAACATTTTGGTTACATGAATTTCTTTCGTGCCATTTGAGTCAAAGTTGTAAGTGTGCCCATCACCAAGATAGCATGCCTTGTACCTGTTAGGTGTGAATTTACCCGTCCCCTTCTCCCTCGTCCCACCTGCTTGGTTTCCACTGAGTTTTACTACCATATTGTACTCACTAGTTGATTAATTTTAACTTGTTCCATATTCCTTAAATAAAAACTTATAAGTATGCATTGTTTAAATAAGTATAAATTTACTAAAAGAATTAGCATCTTGAAAATGCATCCAAAAATTATATTAAAAAGTGGCATTAATTTCACCAGGTACATTATAATGTATGTGCTGTGACCTGGCTTCTAGTTAAATTTTTTTCTCTGCATTTACAGATGCTCTTTTATCTGCAGACTGTTATCCAAGTTTTTTAAAAATGTCAAAGGCATCTATTGGAACTTTGTCAAGTTAGATAAGTACGGATACTCCATGGGATCAGGAATATTTTACACTTTTAGTGCCTTTGCTTCAGTGGCACTAGGGGCTTCTCATTGTAGTTGGGCTAAAATCCAAAACCTGTGACAATTATAATAAGGCTTATATGATCTGGCAACCACTCCAGCCTCATCTTACGCTTCTCAGCCTCTCTGGCTTTCTTTCCCTTCCTTAAACAAGTGAGGCATTCTCCCACATCAGGGAATATGGTGTTCTTTTTGCCTTAAAAGTTATTGATCTCATCCATTTCATCTGGCCAACTCTTGCTTATCCTTCTTGTGGCACCTTTAAACTTTCTTCCTGAGAAATGCCTTCCCTGCCCTTTCCAGTTAAATTAACCTCTTCCCCTTTATACCCTTACTCACACTCTGTGCATATACAATTTGTTAGTTTTATTTTTTTTATGAGATTATGGTTTATTTCCCTCTGTGTGCCTCCTGACAGTGGCAGTGATATGTTTTTTGTTGATCACACTGTAACCTCAGTACTTGGCACACATAGGTGCCTGGTAAATATTTGTTAAATGAATGAATTCTGAAAAAAAAAATACTTTTTTTGGCCTTTCTTGGCCCTTATGGTAGATTAGACTATTGTTGTCAGGAATATAATACGGTGATCTCTCAGGCCCCTTGCTTACTGAATGTTTTATGCACCATTTATGCATCAGTTTTCCTCTAAATTTGTGCCTTTGTGTATCCATTTTGAAATTTATTGGCCAATTTTCAATGAGTTCATATGACAGTGTGATATTATTGTAGTTTCTATATTCTGTAGCTGAGGTTACAGCAGGACGTTCAGTGACAATGACTGCTGGGCACTTACAATAGTGAAGCCATGGGGCTAGGTAAGCACTACAAGATAGACAAATGTAGTGAAAGAATTATAGAGGGTTGAAGGTTGAACTTCAGGAAATATCCATTTTCATGGTGTGAAACAGGAAAAAGGGGCTATTGAAAGAGAGATAGAAAGAGTAATTGAAGAGGTAAGAGAAGAAGTAGGAAACTCAGTAAAGTGAAAGCCAGGGGTGGACAGAGGGGTAGAACATACATAGGAGGAGGTGGTACCTTGAGCCAAATGATGTAGAAAGTTCAGAGAAAATGTAGACAGATAAAGGGCCATTGGCTTGGAAATTGTTTTTTCTTTTTTTTTTTTGTACACACCCTGCCCCCCACGCCAGCTTGGAAATTCTTAATGACTTGCAAGATTTCCGTAGCGTGGAGAAGGCAAGAACCAGATTTCAGGCAGCATGTGTGGTGGACCATTGGAGATAGTGAGATAATAAATGTTTATTAAAAAGTCTGGCCCCAGGCCAGGCGCAGTGGCTCACTCCTATAATCCTAGCACTCTGGGAGGCTGAGGCGGGCGGATCGTTTGAGCTCAGGAGTTCGAGACCAGCCTGAGCAAGAGCGAGACCCCGTCTCTACTAAAAAAATAGAAAGAAATTAGCTGGACAACTAAAAATATATAGAAAAAATTAGCCAGGTATGGTGGTGTATGCCTGTAGTCCCAGCGACTCGGGAGGCTGAGGCAGTAGGATCGCTTGAGCCCAGGAGTTTGAGGTTGCTGTGAGCTAGACTGACACCATGGCACTCACTCTAGCCCGGGGAACAAAGTGAGACTCTGTCTCAAAAAAAAAAAAAAAAAAAAAAAAAAGTCCAGCAGCAAAAGCAAAAAGAGAAACAGAATGTTAACAAAAGATCAAATTAAGGGATTTTTTCCCCCCATGAAATAGTATACTGGTAACTATTTGTATCAAGTTAGTGGAAAGTACAAGATTGGGGAAACTTGGGCTATCATGGACTTAGCAATGATTAACTGATGTTGCAACCAGGAAAGTTAAGAATATACAAGGGGTATGATTTAGAAGAAAGACATATGATTGTAGCAGAAATAGCTCTATATTGGAAGTCAGGAGATCTATGTTCCTATCTTAGATCACCACTTGACAGTTGTGAGATCTTAGCAAAGGGGTTTTGTGTTTTCTCCTTTTGTAGATTTAATGTTCTCTTCTTAAATCTGAGGTAGTTAGACTAAAATATTTTAAAATTCACATGTACATTTTAAGTACCTCAATTCAGCAATACACAAGAGTAAATGAAGAAGAGTAGATGTAGAGATATATATTTGGACATAGGGAGAGGGAAGATGAGGAAGTTTACCTGCCATACCCTTGATTAAGAGGCCAGCTGCTATCCATTGGGGAGGTAGAATTGGAAGATATAAACAATTTATTTATATCATCTTTATTTTTAGTAATTGCTTGGCATTCTACCAAGTTTCATTATTCCAGGCACAAGATGATGTAGTAGAAAGAGTTCAGTGACCTGCGTTTGAGTTATAATTGTACTACATACATACTTTCTGTGTAGTATATGCTAGTCAAATATGAGCCTCTTACTCTAGAAATGAGGATAAAACCTCTCATAGAGCTGTTGTGAGAAAGAACTTTGTAAACTAGAGCACATTGCATTAATGTAACTAATTTTGTCTATCAGAAATTTTCCCTCCTGATCCCATACTAGTAGTAGTAGTAGCAATGGAAGAAGAAGAAGTAGTGGTAGTGGTAGTAGTAGTAGTAGTAGTAGTAGTAGTAGTAGTAGTGATGGTAATACTAATTGTAGCTAATATTTACATGGGGCTTACCACATGTGAGGCACTATTGAAAGAATTTATGTTTTTTAATCCTGGGAACAACCTTATGAAGTAGCACTAGTAGTATTCCCATATTATAGACAAAGCAACTGAGGCATGGAAATGTTAAATAACATACCTAAGACCACATGGCTAGTGAGTGGAGGAGCCAGAATGCAAACTTAGGTAGTTTGGCTTCTGAGTTCATACTTATGGGTGCTATAATATAACTTTGCCTCTGTTAATTAAGGTAAATGGGCTAGAATTAAGTTGCCATCAATTTTAATGAATTTTTAATAACAAGATTGCTTGACTTAAGAAATAGCAACTCAATTTAATGATAAATACGGTCAGACTTGGGTTATAAACCAACAGAATTCTATCTTAAAAAGAGTATCTTGCCTAAATGAAAAATCTTAGTTAAATTGACAGTTCTTTAAATCTAATGAGAGTTTGATTTTTATTTTTTCAGGAACACAAAGAGGGGCAGCTCACATCCATGCCCCGAGAGGTTTGTAGATCATTTGTGAAAATTATAGCAGAAGTCCTTGGATCTCCTCCAGATTTGGAGTTATTGACAATTATCTTCAATTTCCTTTTAGCAGTTCACCCTCCTACTAATACTTACGTTTGTCACAACCCCACGAACTTCTACTTTTCTTTGCACATAGGTAAGTATAATGATTTTTTGTTAGATCTTGGCTATCTTCACCTTTGTTTTATTCTTTCCAGTTGATCCACATTTGTTTGTTATTTGAATGGCCTCTCTGTACTAGAAACTGCCCTAATTACATACTGGGGTTGAGACAGGCTGAGAGTTATAGAATGAACCAGACATGGCCTCTGCTTCAGGAAGCCTAAATACCAAGAGAAGAGAGGAGATATACACTCAAATAGCTACAATAAGAAACAATATTTGGTAACTACATAATAGATAAAAAAGAAGAACTAATGAAATTTCCGAGGAGAAAGGGTTTCATCAGACCACTGTGGAGAGAGAATATTTAATAGGTCACATAATACCTGACATGAGTATTGAAGAATTTGGGTAAAATTTGATAGGTGAATTATTAGAGAATTAGCATTTCAGGCAAAGAGAATATCTTTAAAGGGAGGAAAAATGGAAAGAGAAAATAAAGGAATAATGAATTTTACCTAGATATAGAGGACCTATAAAGGAGTAGTGAGAAATAATGACATAAATATAGTTTATGGCATCATTTATTTATTTTTCCCCTGAGGTCATATTAAAATGGATCCTTGAATGTAAGGCCAGAGAATTTGAACTTATATTCTAGTTAGAGGTCACTGAAAGAGTTTTTTGTTTTGAGCAAAGGGATATGATATAAGTAAATTATTGCAGTACGATTCAGGAATAAGAAACTAGAGATAGTAAGACCAATTATAGTAGTCTATAAGAGACAAAATAATAGAATCTGGGCATAGTAGCAGTGGAACTGGAAAGGAGAGATCAATGGAGAAATGGGAAGATTAGGATGGAATGACTCGACTCTGAGGATGTTAAGGAAAGAGGATAATGCTTTGGTTTTATAATACATGTATTTGAGGTACGCTGTAGTTATTCATAGTATGATTGTCTAGCAAGCAGTTGGAAGTAAGGGTTATAAAATGGGGGAGGTTGTAAGGAGCTACCTACATAGAAGTGAGTTGAAGCTCTGAGAGTAGATAAGACCACTGAAGAAAAGTATGTAGAAAAAGAAGGAAAGAGGAAGCTAAGGAAAAAACTACTGTAATATTACTATTTAGAGAATGGGATAAGAAAGAGGAATGAATATAAGAGAAAGATGGGATAATTAGAGTTTTTGAAAAACTAGGGAAATATAATGTAAGAAAGAAAGTAAGACTGTACCTGTGAGAAAGCTAGGTAGTAAATTTGGTGTAGAAAACTGGTTGTACAACATCCATTTTAAGAAATGAAATAAATGAATAAAATGATGGAGCAGGCCAGGAACAGTGGCTTACACCTGTAATCCTTACACTTTGGGAGGCCAAGGCCAGGGGATCACTGGAGGCCAGGAGTTCAAGACCAGTAACACAGCAAGATCCCGTCTCTACAAAAAGTAAAAAAAAAAATTAGCCAGGTGTGGTGATGTGTGCCTGTAGTCCCAGCTACTTAGGAGGCTGATGCAGGAGGATTGCTTGAGCCCAGGAGTTTGAGGTTGCTGTGAGCTATGATGACACCACTGCACTCTAGCCCTGGCAGCAGAGTGAGACCCTGTCTCCAAAACAATGAAATTAGATGAAAACGAAATTAGATAGCATGACTTTGTGTTAGGTTCAGCACATTTAGTAGATAAAGGACTGTGGATAAAGATTCTGGAAGCGGGATAGTTACAAAGATGAGTAAAATATGGTTCCCTCCCTTGAGAAACATACAGCCTAGTTTAGAGGAGAGAGGCATAAACAGATAATTACACTATGCCATGTGGAAAGCGCAGTGATATAGAAGTCAACAACATTTTGTTTTCTGCTAGCATAGAGCATGTGAGAACTGAGGGGACAGTTCCTGGAGGAAGTGATGCCTACTCTGAGTCATAAAGGATGAGTGGGAATCAAAGGGAAGGGCCTTCCAGGCAAAGGAAGCAGCTTGACCGGGAGCTATAAGAAGTCTGTGCTGTTGAAATATAATGTAGGAAACAAGGCTGGAGAGGGGCCTGGGGACAAATAGTGGAGAATCTGATAGACTAGAAGTTTGGATTTTATCCAAGGTGGTAAAGAGGCAACAGAAAGCCACTGGAAGGTTTTAAATAGGAGTTGACATTTGAGAGAATTCTGGTGGCTGTGAGGATATGAGGGTGACAAGATGTCCATCAAGGATACCATTTAGAAATCTGTGACAGTAATCCGGGTGAGAGACGATACAGCCTGCATTATGGTAGAGATGAGGAGAGTTCAAGAACTAAGAAACAAAGTCAGTTATTTCCGGTGACTGACTTGCCATGGCTAAAGGACAGGTAGTGATCAAGGGTGGCTCCAGGTTCCCACACGTGGGGAATGGGTACTTCTACCAAGCTAACCAAAGAACAAAACAAGAGGAGTGAATTTAGGGCAAAAAAATAATTCTGATTTAGATTTGTTGCATTTGTGGTTCATTCAAGAAGTGAAGCAGTTTAGTTTATAACTATGAAGCTCAGAAGAGGAAGATTAAGCTTAGAAGTATTAGGTTAGGAGTCATAGACACTGAAAGGGATATATAAAAATATGAGACATAGTTCTTTCCTCAAGGAATGAACAGATGAATAGTCTCCTTAGAGAGATCATAACATAAAAAATGAACAGTTAAATGTTAAACCATATAAATAACTATAAATACAGTTGGAATTCAAAGAAAATAGAAGTTAATGTGGCCAGAAACAAGCAACAACAAAAAAAAATAAAAAATTATAGAGTATAAATACTCATGTATATGCATTAGTATAAAGTATGCCATATTTTTTTCTCTCTGAACATCTTTTTGTCAGAATTTCTATTTAATGATCTGCCTTTAAAGTTTGTTTTATCCTTTTTTAAAAGTTTTCTGTCTCAAAAAATTTTTTGATTCTAGATGGCAAGATCTTTCAGGAGAAAGTCCAGTCAATCATGTACCTGAGGCATTCCAGCAGTGGAGGAAGGTCCCTTACGAGCCCTGGATTTATGGTAATAAGCCCATCTGGTTTTACTGCTTCACCTCCTGAAGGTAAAAATAGCAATAATGAAATTATGACCCTTCCCATTTTAGTTCTGAATATTCTTAGATAATTAAATAGTACATGTTTTAGCAGTACGTATCATAGAACCTGATAATCAGACTAAATAAAAGATTAAACTTAACAATTATAGAATATATTTAAGGAGTTCATTTTCACAACTTTCCGTTATCAGTAACTTACACTCAATCTAACAAGAGATACGCAGCACAGGTCCTCAGGAGAACTTAGAAAATGTATTGGCTTATGCTATCTTGCTCTGGCTTTCTCTTTTCTCACTTACCACGGTCATTTGTCCTTCACTAAGCTTTTGATTTATTTTCCCATTTTCTTCAAAAGCTTTTTTGTCTTCCACTCTTCTTTCTACCTAAACCCATCATTTTAGACAACTTCACTTGCCAGATGAATGGCCATCTAGTACTCCAGCTTCGTGTTCCTCGACTCAGGACACCTTTCCCTCTACTTTATCTGCCGATCTGCATGGATCTGTCTTGGACTTTGTCATCATGAAGAATGCTTGCAAGCACCTCTGAAACTCCAGAATCCCACTCTCTATCTATATGATCTTTTTAAAAATCACATGCATCACTCTGAAACATTTTCAAATACTTTACAATCAGGCCCCCATTTTTTTCCAAGTCTTTTGAACAGAATCTTTTGGCACCTTTATTCCTCTAGCCAAAATCCAGAAATAACTAGAAAAAACTTCTGAGCTATGGTGCTATTTTATTACCACAAAGCCTATGCTCTAAAGCAGTTCATTTAGTGCCTATTTACATCAGTGCTTTTCATATTTCCAACATGCAAAAAAATCACCTGGAGAGCTTATTAAAATATAGATTCCTGGGCCCCTCCCTTATACATTCTGTTTCAGTAGATATAGGCTAGAGCATGAGAATGTTTATTTCTAACAATTCCGCAGCTGGTGCTGATGCCCATGCTTGCTGGTCCACGGACCACACCCTGAGTAGCATGGACTTATATCCCATATACTTACCATAGGAGCAATTTTTCTGATATCCTACTACATATAATATTAGAAGCAGTAAATTGGAGAGCCGCAACAAGAAGAGAGAAAACTAGTGCTTCTCACTAATAACAGGAAGAAGTGACTATAGAAACAGAGGAGAGAGAGAACTAAGACCAATTTAGTCCAGTAATAACAAGAAGTACTACTATTTATTGAGCACCTATTATATGCCAGGTGCCGTGTTAGGTGCCTGACAAATATAATCTCACTTAATCCTTAAAGTAACCCTGCAAAGTAGATATTAAAAACCCTCATTTTACATTTGCAGAAACTATCACTCATGTGGTACAATTAAGTGATTTACCTAAGGCCACTTAACTGAAAGAACTATCGTTTAAATCCAGTTATATCTAGTTACAAAGCCCACACTCTGCTGCATCAAATTGCATCCAGGTGACTGCCAGCCTGAGATAAACTAAGTTTCACTTAATTCACTTAATTTCCCTACAGTAGAACCATTAATCCTAATGGCTTTGAATCATTTAGTCAATACTATATTTTGTTAAGGACATGTGATGTTTTTGCATGATAATTGTAGGTTTTTCATAAATGCCATTGATTAAATTGAGAAAAAAAAGACATATGTTTTTGGAAGATTTTAATAAAAAGAGGTTAAAATAAAAGTTTTGGCATTGAAGAATTTTACACATTAGTTACTAGGAAAATTAACCTGTGTGGATTCTTTAACAGTGCTAGAAAAATGGGCTATTGCTATGATTGTGATTTGTAGTGAAGAGAAGTGGTCTCACTTAATAGATTTTTAAGTAGTATGTTTTTATCTACTCTTACCAGGAAACAATTCCTCCAATATTATTCCACAGCAAATGGCTGCCCACATGCTGCGTTCTAGAAGCCTACCAGCATTTCCTACTTCTTCACCAGAAATACAACCACGAAAATTGACTGCAAGTTTGGGTTGTAGTATCGACAAGTTACAAAATATTGCAGATACTTATGTTGCTACCCAACCAGAGAAAGAAAATCCTTTGGGGAGTTCTGACCCACTGAAAAAAGGCAAAGAGGATGCATTCATCAGTAGCTGCGAGTCTGCAAAAACTGTTTGTGAAATGGAAGCTGTCTTCTCAGCCCCAGCCTCCGTCAGTGATGTCCCAAAAGGAACATTTGGATTTCCAGCGGTCAAAGTAGATAATAAAGAATTGGGAGCAGAACCCAGACCAGAGGACGACAGTCCTGGAGATGAGTCCTGCCCACGCCGACCTGATTACCTAAAGGGACTGGCCTCATTCCAGCGAAGCCACAGCACTGTTGCAAGCCTTGGGCTAGCTTTTCCTTCACAGAATGGATCTGCAGCCATTGGCCGCTGGCCAAGTCTTGTTGATAGGAACACTGATGATTGGGAAAACTTTGCCTTTTCTCTTAGTTATGAGTCAGACTACAATCAAACTGCACGTGCTCAGAGGTACTCATGTGTTTTTGTGTACCCTCCACTTTTTTTTTGCTTTTTTTGAAGAATCTCTACATTTCTAGAAATGTCTTCATTGTGTCACTTCTTATAATACAACAGGTCTGTTAATAACAAACAAAAAGGTGCTTTTCTCCTTGTTTTAATACTAGATAAAAGTTAAACCATAAATATCTCTCAAGGAGAAGAATGTCTTGTAGTTTAATTCCTTATAGTTATTAGAGAAAAATTCTTCAGTTCAGAGAATTGATAGGGCTTATAATTATTTCCAATAACATCTAAAGTAGCACTGTCCAATGAAACTTTCTGTAATGATGGATGTGTTTTATCTGTGCTGTCCAATACAGTCAGCACTAGCCACGTATGCCTGATGAGCACTGGAAATAGCGCAACTGAGGAACTGAATTTTTAATTTAATTTTAAATAGTGTAAATAGCACAGGTGGCAGTGACTACTGTATTAGACATCATAGATGTAGAATAGGGTAATATTTAGTATTTAGTATTTAGTAGTAGGGTATATGTCTAAAAAAAATCAGTGATAAAAAGTGATGGTAAATTTGTTAATTACAGTTAAATTAGGAATCATTTCTTAAATGTTATGCATGTGTGTTTCACATGTTAAAATTATTAATGCTCTTCACAGTTCCCGAGGTAATCATCATGTACTTTTCTCCCTGATATTGTGTTAGTAAGACTTTTTTGATCTCTGTTTTAGTGTAACCGAAGACTGTTTGATACCTATATGCTGTGGATTATATGAACTCTTACGTGGAATTCTTCTCATCCTACCTGATATGATGCTTGAGAATGTGATGGACAAGCTTATTCAAGCAGACTTACTTTTGGTCCTGGTTAACCACCCATCACCAGCTATACAACAAGGAGTGATAAAAGTAAGGGCAAGTACTAGATATGTTGTTTTAGTTCTGAAAAATAAATATATGTGTAATTTTAAAATTTGAATATATATGTTAAAATAGAAGTAAAGCTTTATTTTATACTTAGGAATAGTGAATTAATATAGTTTGTTACTTCTTACTCATATTTTTGTATTATCATCCAATTTTAAATCCTTCTCCATATATTGATTCATATCAGTATGTTTCTAAAATCTACCAACAAATCCACATATCCAAACAGTGCATTTTTGCAAAAATTACAGGGAACACACATTCATTGGAAATCTCTTCTGTAGTGTAATATCATATTTTAGACATTTACTTCAGGTCTAGCTCAGATGTCACCTTTCCAGAGAGTCCTTCCCTGATTACCTTATCAAAATCACTTGCCTCTAGCCCTGCTCTTTATTTATTCTATCATATATCGTATTTATGTCTTCTAATTATCTTTTAAATTTATCCGTGTACTTGTTTTTTTAATCTCCCACAAATATAAACTTCATCAGGGTAGGCATCTTGTATCCAGCATATAACAGATACTGAGTATATTCTTGAATGAATGAATGTTTTATATGAATGGTTTCTATTAGAACACAACCCAGTATTGGAATGGTCTTTTAGAGATTCTCATTTTCTTTCATTTGGATATAGGTATTGTTTAATCACTTGCAGTTCAACCCAGTGTTTATTAAGCTCCAATTTTATATGTAAAACACTAGGCTAGTTGCAATGTGGTATATAAAGGGGAATAGTATAAGTTCCCACATTCAAGGAGTTATAGTCCTTTACTTTAGTAAAGTCCTTTACTTAGTCCAACTAAATAAAATGCAAGGAATTCTGTGATGAGTGCAGCAGTGGCAGTAATTAATAAAGAAGAATTGAACATAGGAGAAACAGAGAAAGATTCATGCAGAAGGTGTACTTTGTATTATACTGTAAACTTAGGAAGCTTTTTAAGTAGGACAGTAAATAGATGTGTGTTTGGGAACGAGCGGTCTTTCACCACTGTGAGGGAGCAATTGAAGCGGGAGAGAGGTGGAAGTATTCTGTTAGCAGGCTAGCTCAGTAAGTAGTCCAGGGGAGAAAAGATGAGTTCCTGATTTGAGGTAGTGGGAAGTCAAAGGACAGACAGATTTGAAAGACGTTCACTGGAGTGGAAGAGGGGTACCTTCATAATTGCGTGTGGGGAATCAGGAATACAAAAGCCAAAAGTGAGTTAAGCCTTGAGGTCTAGGAGGAGGGGACCACCTTCCTCTGAGATTGGAACCATGGAAGAAGTAGGTTTGGAAGGAAAAGTAGTTAATTTGGTGTTAGAAATGTTGTAGCTAGAGAGGGTGGACATTCAGGTCTATATTCAGGATAAATAATCTGTCAAGATGTATAGAAACAGGCCGGGTGTGGTGGCTCACGCCTGTAATCCTAGCACTCTGGGAGGCCGAGGCGGGCGGATTGTTTGAGCTCAGGAGTTCGAAACCAGCCTGAGCAAGAGCGAGACCCCATCTCTACTAAAAATAGAAAGAAATTAATCGGACAACTAAATACATAGAAAAAATTAGCCAGGCATGGTGGCGCATGCCTGTAGTCCCAGCAACTCGGGAGGCTGAAGCAGTAGGATCGCTTGAGCCCAGGAGTTTGAGGTTGCTGTGAGCTAGGCTGACGCCACGGCACTCTAGCCCGGGCAAAAGAGTGAGACTCTGTCTCAAAAAAAAAAGATGTATAGAAATAGAGGTCTAGTCTACATACATATATGTAGATTTGCAGAGAGAGCATAGTTTGTACTGATTTTTTTCCTTTAGAATTAGCCACAGATGTTCTACTTATACTTAGCTAAGGTCACCAGTCTACTAAGTGTCCATGCTCAGCTAAAAAACCCATTTTCCCCACCATAGAAATATTAAGATCCCCACAATAGAATCATCATTAGCATGGCACAGTAGTCAGAGACAAGTTGATTTTTTTTTTGCTATGGAGGTGGCATTTTTTTGAAATTTCTGCATTCTTCTATGCATATGAACTTAATAACTTATAAATACAAGTGTGATTCCTGTCTGATTTGTGTATATTAAATGTTAATATATTATCTAAATTATCTTAAATTTTTGCTTTAGTTATTAGATGCATATTTTAATAGAGCATCTAAGGAACAAAAAGATAAATTTCTGAAGAATCGTGGATTTTCTTTGCTAGCCAACCAATTGTATCTTCATCGGGGAACTCAAGAATTGTTAGAATGCTTCATCGAAATGTTCTTTGGTCGACGTATCGGCCTTGATGAAGAGTAAGTGGGTTCTTGCTTCCCTCATAATTAGGGATCTTTTGTCTTAAATGTAAAATTTAGTGAACTCACTCTTAACAAAATTATTTTGTCATCTTTAGAAAAAATCTACTGAAAGTAATTTTCCAGATGAATCAATTTATTATTTGCTATATGATATTCTTTCTATTAATAATATAACTTCTTCCTTCGTAGTTCATTCACTAGCTAGAAACTAGAAACAAATAAATATTGCATCAAATGAAATAAAGTGATAACATGAGAAGGTTAACTGAAAAGAAAGGTGGCCTGTGTATTCTCAGTGACAGATGACACAAATGAGCCATAGAGGACCTCTCCTCTCTCCTCAGAGCCCTCAGGTTATCTGGGAAAAGAGTAAATCCCTCACCTGGAATTCCTGGATTTACTGATTGCTGAGATGTGACCCTGGTGTAATGCTCATGGATTAGCAAATAAGTACAAAAATAAAAGAATATTTTTCTCCCAAACTGACAGTTTATGATAGAATAGAGAGAAATGTGTCTTCTTATTGTGATAGATAAATTCGGACATTGAGGAATTTACTTATTTATTATGCTGATTTCAGTAGTACTTTTCCTTTGCATACAGCTTTTGGCTTTCCCAAAGCAATTTTGCATTACCTTTTTTTTTTTTTTTTTTTTTTGAGAAAGGGTCTTGCTGTCAATAGGACTAGAGTGCAGTGGCTTGATCGTAGCTCACTGTGACCTCAAACTCCTGGGCTCAAGCGACCCTCCTGCCTCAGCCTCCCGAGTAGTTGGGACTATAGGCACGTGCCATCACACCTGGCTAATTTTTCTATTTTTTGTAGAGATGGGTCTTTGCTCTTGCTCAGGCTGGCAATTCTGTGTTATCTTATTTGGTTCTCACAACAGCTTTGAGAAGAAAGGAGGGCATATATTATCTCACATATTTGATAGATAAGGAAATGAGGCACAAAATACTTTTGTTCAGTCACAAAGACAAGTATTATTGGGACAAGAACTCAAAGATTCCTTCCTTTTTCCTCAACCTCTTTTTACTAGCTGTCTCTCAAATACTATGTAAAATAATAATAATAATTTTCCTGTGGAATTGTTATATAGCCCCTTAACACAGGGTTTCTTTGGACATAAGGGGCCCATGCATAAATTGAGGTGAATCAATTAAAACCATGAAATTGTATGCATATTTTATCGGAATGTTTGTGTATTTATCTTGGGATGGACTTCTAGCACCAGCTTTCATCTTTTTAGTGGAGGGGATCTATAATCTAAAAAACAAATTAAGAATCCTTACTCCATAAACTTATTTTTTATAACTTCAAAATCAAGTTAAAAAAGTAGCCAGTAGTTTCCTTATTTTGTGACTAATTGCTTCTAATGTTCTCTTAATCGTATATTATTTGTTATAGATTTGATCTGGAAGATGTGAAAAACGTGGGACTTTTTCAGAAGTGGTCTGTCATTCCTATTCTGGGACTAATAGAGACCTCTCTGTATGACAACATACTCTTGCATAATGCTCTTTTACTACTTCTCCAAATTTTAAATTCTTGTTCTAAGGTAGCAGATATGTTGCTGGATAATGGTCTACTCTATGTGTTATGTAATACAATAGCAGCCCTGAATGG